TTTTGAATAAATTCTGCTTTGTGGTGAAATTAGCTTTCATGCATTACTGGTGTTAAAATGACAATTTGTCGATGATTATCAAAAGCCTGTAAAACTAGCATACTTTTAAACTCACAAATTAAACTCAGAAATTCTAACTTCTGAGAAGTTTTCCTAAGTAAATAATTGAACAAGTGATTAAAGTGAGTCTATAATAACGTCCTTAGCAGCATTATTTATAAGAAGATATAAAGTTGAAAACAATCTCAAATGTGCCTCAGTAGAAAATTGGTTAGACCATAGTAGATCCATGTAATCATTATGTATGTGTATACCTAAGTGGAATACTGTGTTGCTATTGAAATTATATATTGCTAATATGTTAAAAATAGTCATAAACAAGGTAAATTAAAGAAATGGTGTATGAAATGATATGCATGACATAATCCTATTTTATTAAGAAGGAAAATGTCTGTGCATGCACAGGAAAATGGTAGAATATATCACATACTCATCATGTTCAAATCTGAATGGTATGATTCTAGGGAGTGGCTTTTAATTTCTCCTTTATACATTTTGAATTGTTTGGTTTAAAAAAAAATTTTTATATGCGTGTTGCTTTTAAAATCCAAAAGAATGAACAATTGAGAGTATTTTTTTTTTCAATTTTGAAAGAAAAGATAATAAACCTGTGGTGTTAGTAGGATGGGAACGTCACCACGAGGGAGAGGCCTAAAAGCTAAGAAATGACTGTTTTGCATGCCTAAGGTGAATGTAGGGAGCCTCAGAGTTGAAGAATTTCCACCCCTATCAGGTCATTTGGCATGGACACAATTTTACCTATAAAGTCAATTGATATGTTCTTGAACCAGCGACTGGACATGTTATGATTGAAAATGCCATGAAACCATTTTAGCTCTTGTTTTTGTTCTTAACTTTATAAACAACCTTAATATCTTTCTTTATCAGTAGTCATTAAAAGATCCTTAGAAATTTTGCCCTGTGATATGGTTAGGCTTTATGTCCCTACCCAAATCTCATCTTGAATTGTACTCCCCGTAATCTCCACGTGTCAAGGGAGAGACCAGGTGGAGGTGATTGAATCATGGGGCAGTTTCCCCCATGCTGTTCTCATGATAGTGAGTTCTCACAAGATCTGATGGTTTTATAAGGGACTCTTCCTTTTCATTTGGCACTTCTTCCTGCCATCTAGTGAAGAAGGTGCCTTGCTTCCCCTTCACCTTCTACCATAATTGTAAGTTTCCTGAGGTCTCCCCAGCCATGCTGAACTGTGAGTCAATTAAACCTCTTTCATTTATAAGTTACCCAGTCTTGGGCAGTTCTTTATAGCAGTGTGAAATGGACTAATACACTCTAGTAGCTGTGTATCCTAGAAAAGGGGCTCCAAATGGAGAATGATTGCCTAGAAACTTTAAGCTGTACCAAGCAAGAAGAGTCAGAAAGTTAGTGGAGATGATTGGTTGTTCAGGTTGCTCCACTGAGAAATCAAAGATGAAGAGAGGTTACATGTGATGTGGCCTATGTGGCAAATCTAGTTCATGTCAGAGCTAACAGCCAGCAATATCCAGCCATGAAGCCCAGTGGGTAGGTGAAAGGAAAAAGATGGTAACTTCTCAAAATAGTGGGAAATTAAGGATTTAAGGTTATATTCCATTAAGGGGATGGAGGAATTTTGTTTTTAGGATAGGTGTATAAGTTCGTTTTCACACTGCTGTAAAGAACTGCCTGAGATGGTAATTTATAAAGAAAAGAGGTTTAATTGACTCACAGTTCTGCATGGCTGGGGAGGCCTCAGGAAACTTACAATCACGGAGGAAGGGGAAGCAGGCACCTTCTTTACAAAGCGGCAGAAGAGAGAAGAGTGAGGGAAGCAGGAACTTGCCAAACACTTATAAAAAACATCAGATCTTGTGAGAATTCACTCACTGTCATGAGCACAGCATGAGGGAACCACCCCCATGATCCAGTCAGCTCCCACCACATTCCTTGTTTCAACACCTGACACCTGGGGATTACAATGCAAGATGAGATTTGAGTAGGGACACAAAGCCTAACCCTATCAATTGGGATATCCCATATGGAGTTTTGTGCCTCTTGCTTGTCTTGGAAGAAGGCGGCCCCAAGTAATAGTCATGACCTCATGGCTGATCCAGAGACGTAAAAAAGCAAATTGAGACTTCCTGTTTTGATTAGTTTGGGAAGCAGTTATTAAGGATTGATTCTCCCTGTTGTGGTTAAAGCTGTCTACCAAGAAATAAGCCAAATGAATATTAGGCCAAGAATCTGAAGGGTGAAGCCAAACCACTGGGAAGGGCTTTCTACTGCAACTACAATGTGATTGAATTAGAAAGGAACATTCAAACCATGTCATGTTGTCACCTCAAATTCAACAAGTCTAAAATTGAACTCATCTTTCCTCACGAAGCGGTTCCTTAACTCAACTTTCCTAACAACAGGAAGACACTGCAGTGCAGAATGCTTTGCCACGACATATCTGTCTATTATTTCATTTGATTATCACACACAAGAAAATTTAACTCTAAAATTTAACTTTAAAAGATTAATCAAAGGGCTGCAGATAAGTAAGAGACCAATTCTAAAACCCAAGTGTTCTGAATCCTAATCTAGTCATCCATTATCAACTATATCACACTGCCCTTCCCCGCCGTATTTGTGAAGTAAACCAGCCCATTTTATAGAATTACTAAGTGACACTTTATTTGTATTGGCTTTTGAGGATTGCACATGAGCAGATTTTGGTAAACATGAAGTCAGATTTTCTCAAGTAGCAAAGAAGAAACCAACCAACCTTTGGAATCATTAATCCTGTTTTTTTATGAGATACCTCAGTGAAAAAAACATTCATAGCATTCTTATTATTGAAGTCAAAAGATGACACAGGTGAAATAAAGTACTGACTCTAAGCCTAAAAATGCCTAGTTTATAACTCTAACATGAGCACACCATCATCAGTTATATTAGGTTAATATATGGTATAAGTGGTATGGTTCTACTGTTTTGTTTTAATTTGCAAATTATTTTGGCTTTGCAGTGATGTAAGAATTATAAGCATGTTCTAGAGAAATGCCATACAACATTGTACCTATAGTTAACCTATAGTTAAGTGTATTGGACACTTTAAAATATGCCAACAGGGTGGATTTCATGTTAAGTGTTCTTACCACAATTTTAAAAAGAATTATTAGCATGAAATGTTTACATATCTGGATTTCTATTTTGTAGATATGTAAGTAACATTGTAATAAAAACGCTGTAACTCTCCAGTACAGAAAGCAGCTTGCTACACAATGCAGCCCCACACCCATACCCAACCCATTGACCCGTCGAGTCAGCACCTATCCTTTCTTGGCACTCTGCATCTCAGTACACATTCTACCTTCAAAAATAGCTAAGTCAAACAAGTTCAAAATAGCTATTTCCTCTTGAGTTTGAGCATCTGCAGTTCCCCAGCCCCAATTCTTTATTTGGAAATAAGTATTAGGAGAAACATACCTAGCATCGTGATATTGATTTGTAATTTCCTCAAATAGATGTTCACTTTAGATGACTACAAAAGCTAAAGAGTTCAGGAGCTCGAGACCAGCCTGGGCAACATAGTGAAACCCCATCTCTTAAAAAAAAAAAAATACTAAAGTTAGCTGGGTGTGGTAGTGTGCACCTGTAGTCCCAGCTACTCAGGAAGCTAAGATGGGAGAATTGCTTGAGCCTGGGAGGTCAAGGCTGTGGTGAGCTGTGATCACATTACTGCATTCTGGCCTGTGTGACAGAGTTAGACTCTGCCTAAAAAAAAAAGAGCTAAGTAATATATACACATGTGAAGTCCTCTGTGTCTCTTCTGCCTTCCTCAGCCCATCGACTTCTATCTAAATACACACCTGTGGGCCATTGTGATGTGCCCAGCATGGCAGTGGTATGATACTAAGGCATGTTTTAGAGCAAAAGAGGGGGGCCTTAAAGGGAGCTGCCACCCCTTCAAAATGCACTGACTCTGAAGCATCCTACCAATTGTCACTAACACCTTCTCTCTCCAGTGAAAAGGAACTGGAGGGAAAAACAAAATCCAAGCAAAGAAGATATCCTACTCCCAATTTTAATAATACTTATTACCGAATATAATATTTAATTATAATAATATTTATTATAATATTATGTTTATTATAATTATTAAATAAATTTAATAATTTGGCTTATTAGCACCAGCCTCGGTTTGGTAGTGTAACTTGATTCTTTTCTGATCTTCGTGACAGTGTCTACACAAATAATTCATGCAACATGCTGTATCTTTTGAAGTAAGCGTTTTGATTATTTTTGGTTCAATACTTTGAGTCCCTTCTTCTAAATCTTACATGCTGGTAATCAGCTTTGTAAAGAATTCCTAACCCAAGGCCAGGCCTGGTGGCTCATGCCTGTAATCCCAGTACTTTGGGAGGCCGAGGCAGGCGGATCATGAGGTCAGGAGTTCGAGACCAGCCTGGCCAGTTTGGTGAAACCCCATCTCTACTAAAACACAAAAATTAGCTGGGCATGGTGGCGCGTGCCTGTAATCCCAGCTACTTGGGAGGCTGAGGTAGGAGAATCACTGGACCCCAGGAGGCGGAGGTTGCAGTGAGCCGAGATCGTGCTGCTGCACTCCAGCCCGGGTGACAGTGCGAGACTCCGTCTCAAAAAAAAAAAAAAAAAAAGCTAACCCGCAGTTTCCAAAGGAACTTGTTTTTGTGCAGAATGTTTTAGTTTAAGTTGTTATTTGGTAATTGTAAATTATCTTCTGTAGCTATTGGATTAATGCACTTCACATAGTTAAAAGTTTGAAAGCTAGTTGACTAGGTCTCTAAACTTAAGGAACTGAACCATCCTTTTAGACGTATGTGGTTCATTAAGCAGTTAAGTTCAGAAAAGGGCTCAGGGCTGTTCCTGCCAAGAAGTTGGTGAAGGCATTTGGCAAGTGGCATGCTCAAGAGGTTGTCTTTGTAATGTCGCAGAATCGCCTACCAGAGGAATGACGATGATGAAGAAGAGGCAGCCCGGGAACGGCGCCGCCGAGCCCGACAGGAACGGCTGCGGCAGAAGCAGGAGGAAGAATCCTTGGGACAGGGGACCGATCAGGCGGAGGTGAATGCCCAGAACAGGTACTCTCCTCTTTGGGACGGGGAATTTCTAACTTACGTGTTAGCCTGTCTGTTGAATGGAATTTGTCAAGCAAAGCATTCCTTTCCCAGCTCAACTCAACCCTTTTTCAATCTAACTTGTTGAATTCTTTTGCAGTCATTTTAGGCAACTCATCTGATTAGACAGGCAATCTGATGTAGACATTAGGACACGATATTCTATTTCTCTCCACCCCGTTCCCATCTCATAAACATACCCCACTTGAAGGCTTTTATTTCATTTTACAATCTAGCATTTGTTTAATTAATAACTATGGTGTGCTATATCTTTTATATATATATATGTATGTATTTTTTCTGTTTAATTCTTTTTTAAAATTTCAATAGTTTTTGGGGAACAGGTGGGGTTTTGGTTACATGGATAAGTTCTTTAATGGTGATTTCTGATATTTTAGTGCAGTCATCACCCGAGCAGTGTACACCATACCCAATGTGTAGTATTTTATTCCTCACACCCCTCCTACATTTCTCCCTGAGTCCCCAGTGTCCATTATATCACTTTTGTACCTTTGCATCCTCATAGCTTAGCTCCCACTTGTAAGTGAGAACATATGATATTTGGTTTTCCATTCCTGAGTTACTTCACTTAAAATAATGGTCTCCAACTCCATCCAGGTTGCCGTGAATTCCATTATTGTGTTCCTTTCTATGGCTGAATAGTATTCCATGGTGTGTGTGTGTGTGTGTGTGTGTGTGTGTGTGTGTGTGTGTGTATGGTAAGTAGCTTCTAACTGGGGAGTAGGTATAGCAAAGGGGAAATAGGTATAATTTCTGGGGTTCACTAACTGACTTTGACTCCCAATTTGACCTGATATATATATATATATGATATATATAGATGTATGTATATATACACAACACATTTTCTTTACCCACTCATTGGTTGATGGGCATTTAAGCTGCTTCCATATTTTTGCAATTGCAAATTGTGCTTCTATAAACATGCACGTGCGAGTATATTTTGCATATAATGACTTCTTTTCCCCTGGGTAGATACCTAGTAGTGGGACTGCTGGATCAAATGTTAGTTCTACTTTTAGTTCTTTAAGGAATCTATACGGTTTTCTGGTGGGTTATTTCTTTAAATAAGAAAAAGTATTTACATTTATTCTGTAGGGTATTGCTATCCATTTTGAACTGAAGATATGTTAGTATAGTAGAGTTCTCTGTGCCTACCATTAATAGGTAACACATGAATTTTTAAAGTGGGCATGAATTGCAGATGTCTTCTCTTTTCCAGTACACAGCCTGAATCAATAGTCTCTGATTATAATATTCAACAAGATACAGAATTCTGCTTAATTTAATGTGGTTATTCAAACACACTTAATGAGTTTGCTATTACGTATTTTCTCACTCAGGCCCTGGTAGAAATCAGGGAAGTTGAGAATGCCTAATAGGTTCAACTTCTTCAAAGAGGGCTTTTGCAGCAGAAATAAGGTCATATGGTTCATTATGCTAATGGTTAGTATGTGTCATTTATATTGTCATTTATATGCCCTAAGGTCTAAAAAAGATGAGGATATTTGAGGAGGAAAATGGAGAAAATAATTTTAATTTAAAACCATGGACTGATTATAATGGTTACACTATATAAGATCTCACATGTGGTTTTGGTTTTAGTTTGTTTTACTTTGTTTAATTCAATCTATTTAGAAAATTCTAAAGGGAATGGGTCCTGGCTTCCTTAACCTAAGTTTGGGAGGCTGTATTAGAAGGTTTCTGAAAGCAGTCTTGAAAATGTTGGCCGGTAGCACAGATATTGGTTACCCTTTCCCTCAGTAAGTAGCTTCTAATTGGGGAGTAGGTATAGCAAAGGGGAAATAGGTATAATTTCTGGGGTTCACTAACTGACTTTGACTCCCAATTTGACCTTTCACTAATTGTATTTCTTCAGTTAAATGGAAATAAAAATTAATACTTTTCTCCTAAAAATGCTGCTAAACTTAAACTATGTAATAATGCATGTAAAATGCAGAGCGTCATACACATAGTAAGCACTCAATAAATTTTCACTGTTACCAGATTCTTAACACGGGAGGACAACATAGTTATTCACTGCCTTTTCTATTTTCAAGCTGAGAGAGAAATAATAGAAAGAGTTTTAAAAATGGCATTTTGATGCCTTTCCTGAATCTTGTTATTAATGAGTGGTCAACAGGAGCTTAAAAAGTTACTGCTGGTCTGTAGTTTTCTTGCTTTTAAAATCTTGCTTTTCCTTGTGCTTCTCTTCTCATATTTGGCTATTATTCATTATTTCATGCTATTGATCGAATTCAAATGCTTTTTTTTTAGAAAATCATATTGAGGTTTGAGAATGTGTGATTTATCTCTGACATATTAGTTAGCCACAAGAAGAATAAGTCTTCTTGGGGCTAAACCACTCTAACTGGCATTTGATATCTACTGGTGATTGTGGTCATGATTTATAAATAGGCAAAGAAATGTTCAATACAGTTTGTTGGTTTCTTAGCATAAGAGTACTTTAATCTGGCTAGCACTTTGGAATTTTGGTGCCTTTTTAAAATTATTAGAATTCAATTGATCCAAATGCCCTCTCTATAGACTTCCCCTTCAATTATAAATTTTTTACATTTGTAGGGACATTTAATCCTTATATGTCTAATTTCATGGAGGCAGTATCCTGAAGCAAAAGTAAAGGCCAAGAAAGTTTTAAAGCTAGTTTTTACTATGCTAGTTTTCATTGTTAAATATGAAATGTGTTTTTCCAAAATTAAGTGAATTTGGAAAGTTTGGTCTGAACTATGAAATTTGATGGAGTTTCTAAACATTGAAAGACAAATTCTTCCAACTCTGGTCACAGTTCTGGTGTCACATGACTGGTTGTTTCCTGCAAGTAGAAACCAACACCCTGGCTTGGACAGTGTCCAGCATCCTGCAATAGTGAGGGAGGTGATGGACAGCAGTTTAACTTCTGGAGATTTTTTTTCCTTTTAAAAATAAATGTCAAATTTAACTGCCCTTTTTCCACTGTAGAAAAGATGGACAAGAAACCCTTTATTCATGGAAGTCTTGACAAAGAAGTAGATTGTGTATACATTAGTTAGGGTAATGCTGGCTGCTATAAAGATTAGTACCTCCAAATTGTAAGTTTAGTGCAGTAACACTTACCATTAAGCATATTTCCGTCTAGTTGGTGGAACCAGCCACCTGTCTTCTTTTCTCTTGTGGTTCTCAATCCCTAGGGCTTGGCGCTTACTGATCTACCAACAGACAGAGATGGAGAAGACAGGGAGTGCACCTCTGTTTGTTCATTGCCTTGGTTGGGTACTTTGTTTACATTTCATTGGCAGTTATTGGTCACCTGGCCCCGCCTAGGCGCAAAGAAAGGAGATGGTGCAAATTTAATCCTTGAGTGGTGATCACTCCCCCCGACTATGGAAGGAGGAGCAGGAATTGTAAGGGACACTTAGATGTCTCTTCCACGGGGGTCATTGGCATGAGTGTGGAATCTCAACACTGTAATGTACATTTTCTTCCTCTCAAAGTACCTTGGGAGCCTTCAATCCAGATCAGGAATTCTAGATGACTTGGTTACAGGTGAGAATACTACATGACATCGAAGGAATTCACTTATTATTTCAGTTTGATCCTTAAGTTTGAATTCCCCAAGTAGCAAGTCCAGAAACAAAGATTTGACTACAAGTCATTTATTTGTAAGGTGATGCTAGGAAACGCTGGTGGGGGTGTGGGAAGGTGAGACAGAAAAGGGAAGGCCACCAAATAAAGGTTGCATGACCAAGCACATCACCACTGGGTATCTGGAGCTTCACTCCACGGGGAAACTCTGAGGTCCAGTGTGGAACACACACCTCGGAGTTTTCCAACTCAAAAAGTGAGGGGTGCTGAGGTATCTAAACACTAAGGCTCATCAATTTTTGTTTGAAAACTGCTCCCAGGGGACATTAATACCTAAAGCACTTCTGGCATGGGGAGTAGACTCCAGTCCCAGAGAAAGGCTTGCACATGCTGTCAGCTGAAAGCCAGGCAGGCATGTACTAAAATGGTAACGTACTGGGGACATGGGCAGGCTTGGCACTACTGGCATCTGCTGTAGTCCTGGGTGGCACAGGCTGTATGAATGCCGCTGACTGATGAATGAGCAAGCTGTCTTTGGTGTTGTTCTTTCTGTTGTACAGTGTGCCTGACGAGGAGGCCAAGACAACCACCACAAACACTCAAGTGGAAGGGGATGATGAGGCCGCGTTCCTGGAGCGCCTGGCTCGGCGAGAGGAAAGACGCCAAAAACGCCTTCAAGAGGCTCTGGAGCGGCAGAAGGAGTTTGACCCAACAGTAACAGATGCAAGTCTGTCGCTCCCAAGCAAAAGAATGCAAAATGACACAGCAGAAAACGAAACTGCCGAGAAGGAAGAAAAACGTGAAAGTCGCCAAGAAAGATACGAGATAGAGGAAACAGAAACAGTCACCAAGTCCTACCAGAAGAATGATTGGAGGGATACTGAAGAAAACAAGAAAGAAGACAAGGAAAAGGAGGAGGAGGAAGAAGAGAAGCCAAAGCGAGGGAGCATTGGAGAAAATCAGGTAGAGGTGATGGTGGAAGAGAAAACAACTGAAAGCCAGGAGGAAACAGTGGTAATGTCATTAAAAAATGGGCAAATCAGTTCTGAAGAGCCTAAACAAGAGGAGGAGAGGGAACAAGGTTCAGATGAGATTCCCCATCATGAAAAGATGGAAGAGGAAGACAAGGAAAGAGCTGAGGCAGAGAGGGTAAGGTTGGAAGCGGAAGAAAGAGAAAGAATTAAAGCCGAGCAAGACAAAAAGATAGCAGATGAACGAGCAAGAATTGAAGCAGAAGAAAAAGCAGCTGCCCAAGAAAGAGAAAGGAGAGAGGCAGAGGAGAGGGAAAGGATGAGGGAGGAAGAGAAAAGGGCAGCAGAGGAGAGGCAGAGGATAAAGGAGGAAGAGAAAAGGGCAGCGGTGATGGTGGGAAGAGAAAACACAACTGGAAAGCCAGAGGAAACAGTGGTAATGTCATTAAAAAATGCAAACTGTCTAAAGAGCCTAAACAAGAGGAGAGAGGGAAACAAGGTTCAGATGAGATTCCCATCATGAAAAGATGGAAGAGGAAGACAAGGAAAGAGCTGAGGCAGAGAGGGTAAGGTTGGAAGCGGAAGAAAGAGAAAGAATTAAAGCCGAGCAAGACAAAAAGATAGCAGATGAACGAAAGAAGAATTGAAGCAGAAGAAAAAGCAGCTGCCCAAGAAAGAGAAAGGAGAGAGGCAGAGGAGAGGAAAAAGACAGAGGGAGGAAGAGAAAAGGGCAGCAGAGGAGAGGCAGAGGATAAAGGAGGAAGAGAAAAGGGCAGCAGAGGAGAGGCAGAGGATAAAAGAGGAAGAGAAAAGAGCAGCAGAGGAGAGGCAGAGGATAAAGGAGGAAGAGAAAAGGGCAGCAGAGGAGAGGCAAAGGGCCAGGGCAGAGGAGGAAGAGAAGGCTAAGATAGAAGAGCAGAAACGTAACAAGCAGCTAGAAGAGAAAAAACGTGCCATGCAAGAGACAAAGATAAAAGGGGAAAAGGTAGAACAGAAAATAGAAGGGAAATGGGTAAATGAAAAGAAAGCGCAAGAAGATAAACTTCAGACAGCTGTCCTAAAGAAACAGGTACAGTAAACATTTTGCACCAAATGTGTGATGCCTGTGACTTGTGAGAAATGTAATGCACATCTGATTTGGGACTGAGGCCACATGCATATAGCTCACATGCTTGATCATTTGGCAAGCTGTTCATTTTTTCAGGCCATAGCAATACACAAGCATGCGGCAATTGATTGATGGCTGAATATTCAATCAACCAACTTTACTGGGACAGCCAGTAAATTTGGCTGTCCAGAAGACAGAGAGAAATTGATTGCTCTGTGCTTGATTGTTATGAATACCAAAAAAACCGAATTAATCCAAAGATGATAAATGTGGTGGTGGTGTGTTGGCTTCTGATTCTGCACCTGCATCTAAACTCATTCTTTTAATTATCTTTCCTCTATCCATAGGTCTACATGAGGCAAGAGGCCCTTAACTCCTTACCTCACTCATGGGTTTGATGTTGAATTAAAAAAATGATAAGAGCTGGGGTGGGAAATAGACATGAATAATAATGGTCAGACATTTCATCTTAAGAAGGCAAAAACAGGCTGGGCGCGGTGGCTCACGCCTGTAATCCCAGCACTTTGGGAGGCCGAGGAGGGCGGATCATGAGGTCAGGAGATCAAGACCATCTTGGCCAACATGGTGCAACCCTGTCTCTACTAAAAATACAAAATTAGCTGGGTGTGGCAGCATGTGCCTGTAATCCCAGCTACTCAGGAGGCTGAGGCAGGAGAATCACTTGAAACCAGGAGGCAGAGGTTGCAGTGAGCCAAGGTTGTGCCACTGCACCCCAGCCTGGGCAACAGGGCGAGACTCCATCTCAACAACAAAAACAACAAAAAAAAGAAAGAAAGAAAGAAAAAAAGAAGGCAAAAACAAATACCTGGAAATTAACTGGTAATAAAGAGGGGAAAGGAACTGGTTGGAACCTTTCCTTAAAAAAAAGTCAAAACCCTGATTTGCCAACATGTAGACCTCAGCTTAATGTAGACTTGCAGAAAGCCATTAATTTAGGGTAATATCAATGTATAACTGACTGGTAATTAAGAGCATACATGCTTCTTTATTATCTGGGTGACACAAATTCTTGTGGCCTGAGGAAGGGTGGAAATAGCAGGGGGGAAATGTTTGTAAGCTTTGAGAAAGATTTTTTTCTGTCTGCAAGGCTGCATTAAAAGCACTGTACCTAATCACCACCACCACCACACCACCACCACCCCTAAAAAAAGAAAAAAGGAGATGCTTTCACATTCACCTTTCCAGAGCAAATTCTCTGTCACTAAGCCTGCATTGCACTGAAGGTGTCTTTAACTCCTGCTTCTGTGTAAGAGGCTCATGAACAAAGCTATAATTGAGATCATGAGCAAAGTGCACCAAACCACACACGAGGTTTGTAAACACACGAGGAGTGCCACATCATGCTAGATTTCAGTAAGCGCAATGGCAGGCACACGAGAAGATGTTGGGGTGGGAAGAAAATAGCCCACCTTGCTGTTTAGAACCAATGTGCTGTGAGCGCTGAGACGGCAGAAGAGAAGCCATCCCATGCAGCACGTGCAAAGCGATCTGAGCACCCTGTCACTCTTGTAAACTAGAAAGGGCTTCTTTTACTTGTATGACCTTACCATTCTTGAAAATAAAAAGGGAGAAGAGAAGGGAGCTAAAGTGCAAGCTAAAAGGGAAAAGCTCCAAGAAGACAAGCCTACCTTCAAAAAAGAGGAGGTAAATATGATTGAGAAGTAATGATCGTAAAGCAACAGAAAAAGCAGTCAGTGTTCCAAGATATCTCAGGTCTGATGATCTCAAAATTGTAACCCTATATCCAGTGTATTTCAAGCCATGACTCACAATCCATTAAATAGTAAGATCAGCTTAGAGTGTCTCAAAATTAATTAAATGTATCAGTCAGCATTTTTTTAAAAATGAAATGGATAGAAAGCATCATAGGGCACTGTAGGTAGTAAGTATTGCATTGTCATGTAAATTGTCTTTTTTTCTGTGGGACACCATCAAAAAGACTTGAAAAACACTGCTGGAATCAATTTATCCTGTTTTCTAGTCTTCTGAATGCTAATTTTTTTTCCTTGAGCCATTCTACTTTCATTTCAATCATGAAATATTTCCAACTGGCCTTGATTAATGCTTTAACTTTTCAAAGGAAAAACACCCATATACATCTCAGTAGAAAATTTGATGAACTGAAGATGATATTTGGTTTTCAAAAGAAAAGTTTGACCAAATGTTCTGCATTGCATTTCTGAGGCACACACAGGAGCGGGTGCCAGGGTGTTTGACTGTAGGTAAGTGAACAAGGAGCTCTACAGATAGAATGGCACGGGATTTGACAGTAGTCAGAACACCACATCAGAACACCTGATTGCATTTCAACTCTGGTGCTGTGTTTGCCCCAAATAATCTTAAAAATTGTGACTATTTCGAATAAGTTCACAATATTTACTAGAATGTGGTGAAACTGAATTATTAGAAGTAGGAAGACCCGAAGTTCTTCACCAAGAGATTGGTGAAGTGATTTGTGGCCAACAAGCTCCAACCCACATGGACTGTTGCTACATTTCTGTGCCTATCATGGCATCTATTAAGAAAGCTAAAAATCTTAAACAGAAATCCATATTTAGAAAACAGGTGACCAGATTAAATAGGGAGTGGATTATTTTCTTAAATATGTTTTGTCAATTTCACGTGAAAAATGAAAACCCCCAGTTCACGTTACATATTACATTTCTGTTAAGATGTATGTTCCTCTGTTTCTAACAGAAGTTGCGGTGGTTTGGAATTGAAAATTGAATATGAGCACAGGCCATATAAAGGAAGGAGAAAGTGTAAATGCTAATAACAGGAAAACTGCATTTAGCTCTCATGAGGCAGTCAAGGAAATCATTCACTGAACATGTTGGGAAACACTTTTCATTTGGTGACCAAATGCCTACAAATTCATTTACAAAAAAGAAAAATGAAAGTTACCTCAGAACTAAACTCAGAAATATGTCCCACATGGGTTCTTGTAGTGTTTCTTGGTGAATGTCTTTATAGAAGAAAGAAGTGGGCATGAAATGATGACTCAGTAATTAAACACGTGGGGGAAGGGAGGCTGTAGAAAACACTGGAGTCTGTATTTAAAATTTCATTCAGTTCACTAAAATGGGATTTGTTTTTACTGACCAAAGCTTTCTGTACCTACGTAGAGTGTCTGAGAACTAGAAGGGCCCATCAGTTGCCACTCGGATGATCCTTTTGTCTCTTTTCAGATAAGGCCCCAGTTCAACAGCATCCTTGGTGTCAATCAGATACTCCCAGGAATGACTGAGCCCTGCCCTTTTCCCCAGTTGCCCCTCAGCACATTCCAGCCAGTTCCAAAACATTTGGCCTGTTTTTGACACAAGGCCAGATAAGCTACTCAAACTGGTTAAAAAAAAAGAAAAAGAAAGAAAACAAATCCAATCTATGTTCCTTTTTTAACATTGTGTACATAACCTGCTGGTCGAAAGACTAGGTTTTCCCCTTTCCAGCTAGTTGTGTTGTTCCTTTATGTAGACAGCTTTAAATCATGTTTACATGATTCAGCCATTTTAAACAACCTCTTCCTATTTTTTTTTCCTTTTTGTTCAAAAAAAAAAGAAAGCAACTAACTAAAACCTTTCCTTTCAAGGATTTATGCAGCATAGGATAGGGCAACCACAAGTAAACACAAACATCACGTGAGCCTTCTTAGAGAAAACATTTCCAGAAATCACTCCAATGTCTTAAAAAACACACAAAATAAAACCCGTCTTTCTCCACTGCAGTTTAACTGTGGCAATGAGTTGCAGACGATCACCAACATTGAAACTTAATTTAGCTTTTTTTCTCTCTTCTCCAATTATAGAAAGTCTCTTTTTAGTTCTTCATGCAGGAGCTATTTTATTTCTTTTCTGGCTTCTAACAGGAGAACAGTTTCTAGCAGAGCTGCTCCTGAGGTATTGAAAGTGATGTTTGTGTCATGCGGATTAACCCTTCCCAAATATTAGTGCGCATGCAAATCACCTGGGAGTCTTAAATGCAGAATCTGATTCCATGAGGTCCATGTTGTCCGTGAACCAAACTTTCAGTAGTGAGGAGTCTAGAAGACGTCCATGTTATAGAAATTGAACCCAGGAAAGGATTTGGGGCTTCTGAAGCTAACAAAAGCACGTTACACCCAGCCTGAGGAAACAGTAGCTACACCCAGCTCTTGTTGCTATTCTGGAACCAAATAATGCAAAATATGCTCGAGACACATCTCAGTCCTTGCTCACTTGACTTTCTGAGTGTCTCTCTGGCACAGGGGCCTGTCACTTGAATTCCCATCCCCCACCTCATCCCCATGTGTTATTCCACTGGATATCCCAAGTATCTAGATTTCCAAAACCCAAATGATCACATTTGGCCAGAGCCTTTCTTTTGAGTATGCTAATGTTATCTGTGTATGAGGCACACAAACTCTTTTAGGATACGCGGCTACCTAGTAATCCTTCAGCACAGATGTTCTCCATGGTAACATTCTGACCTATAAGATCTAATGCCTTTCCCAGGGGGCTCAGAATCCCATGAGTTTGGTTAAATCTGCCATAACATCTAAAAAAAAATGTAAAGGCTCTATGAAATTACTTTATGTATTCATTTCCCAGAAAGAGAAAATAATTTTCAGTTGAACTCAAATCATCATTATTACACTGACAATGTTTCTAAGGTTTTCCATAAAGAATATAAGCCTGCCATCCACTGCAGCCTTTGCCAATAAAGGCAGAGCTTGAAAAACAGGGGAATTTTTTTTGTGTTAGACATATATCGTCTTACAAATCTCCTTTAAACACTTTTGGGACCAGTAAATCAGATATAATACATTTGGGGAGAATGGAAATTTTTCTGACTGCAACATAGGAGAAACGAGTTAAAAGGGAATGTCTCCATGCATAGTGCTCCACAGACCGTGAGCTCCTGCTCAGAATTTGTTTCATGGTTATCCCTAAAATGGGTTTCCCTCACATTTGGAGCCACAGATGATTCTTAACCAGAACATAAACTCCAGTGTCTGGGTTTTGGGGCTAAGTCTAACAATGGTAGGCCAAAATGAGAATATATTTTGTTTCCTCCTTCCTGTCCAATGAATACTGATGTATTCTTGGGGAAGGATAGCCATCAGGGAGCCACAGTGAAGCTGTCATTCAAGCTATGAGCTTGTTCCTTTTTTCTGTAGCCTCTCATGACCCATGAGGAGCCAAGAGGGAAATGACAGGATGAAAAATTCAGAAGGAATCCTCTGGTCCAACCACATTTTTTCACGTTTGTGGTACCAGCATCCCAGAGCAGTCAGGTGATTTGTCTAAGTAACACAACTACTTTGTTGTCAGCACTGGAGCCAAAAGTCAGGTTTCTTGATTTACAGACAAAGCTCTTGGAGAGAATGGCAAAGTACAGCCCCCATTTTCAGCGTGTCCGAGGGACATCCTAGGTATATACCCCATGGTGAAAGATTGAAGTCTTAACTAACTAGGACAGCATAGTAGTGAATCCCTAGTAATTAATCAGATAATACCCAAAGAAGACAAATTACTTAAAACGTATCAATAAAGAGCAAAAAACTGTGCTCTGCTTTGTAAAACATGCACTTTAGGCCAAGTGCGGTGCCTCACACCTGTAATCCCAGCACTTTGGGAGGCCGAGACGGGTTGATCACTTGAGGTCAGGAGTTTGAGACCAGCCTGGCCAACATGGTGAAACCCGTTCTCTGCTAAAAAGTACAAAAATTAGCTGGGTGTGGTGTTGCATGCCTGTAATCCCAGCTACTCATGATGCGACGCGGGAGAATCCCTTGAACCCGGGAGGCGGAGGTTGCAGTGAGCCGAGATCGCACCACTGCACTCCAGCCTGGGCAACAGAGCAAGACTCTGTCTCTAACAAACAAAAAAAAAAAATGCACTTTAGGAGTAAATCTTCACAGGACATCTGAAGAATGGTGAGAAGAGGTGAGTGATCAGGTTAGGATAGAACCTCCTAGGCCACAGCACCTAAAGTCCTGAGTTCTTATGGCCTACCCTTCCTCTGTGGGTTTCTTTAGAATGCTCGTGCTTTGTAACTGTCTTGAAAAGAACCATTGTGAATGCACCTCACCTGTTTTCACACGCATCTTTTAAGAATGGATGAGATGATACAAGTGAAGTAATTTGAATTCCTTTACCCCCTCCCCCAAAAAAGCTGTGTAAATTCATTTTACTTTTAAACAATCTGTCTCATTTACTGTAAGAAACACAAAATATGAAAGCTAACACCTGCCCTCCATATATCATCTTCCTATGTCTCCCACCACAACCACAAAACTACTTCCAGAGAACTAAATTTTTATTGACAATGGAAATCAAGGTAAACCTATTCCATTCTAATTTTAATGGTTTAGATGACTATAGACATGTTCTCACAGACCCCACATATCTTTGGATCCTCCTGCTAAAGATAGGGTTAGTAAGTGTCCCGTCCTTGGGACATAATTTACTCAGTTGATTAACATACTGGTCTTTGCCAGAATTGGCCTGGCAGATCTAGCTAAACTGGAAGGTTTCCTTTTCTTCCTTTCACATTTGTGTCTTTCTCACAGATTCTCTCTCCATCCAGGAAGAAACCTGTCTAAGCAACGTGGTCATTCTTCCATCAAAGCCACCCTAATAATTGCTCTTCCCAGTGGGAACTGCAAACACCTACTTTTACATGAAGTTCCCACAACGTAATGGTTTCCAAACAATAGTACTACCACTGCTCTTGAAAATAAAAACCCCAGTGAGATCAGGGATGATCTTACCTTCTTAAAAATGTGGTAAAGGTGTTTGTTCACAGGCTAAAGGACCATAGCTCATTCTCTAAGAATTTCACCTGATTCCAACTCTACCACATCTGAGTGGTTTCTTTCTGAGTTTTCTGCCTTCCTAACAATTTTGGGTCTTATTTGATGACACCAACCAAAACCTAATAAGATTTTTCTTGTTCTGTTTCTTCCTGATATGTACTGTTGGTTAGATCAAAGATGAAAAGATTAAAAAGGACAAAGAACCCAAAGAAGAAGTTAAGAGCTTCATGGATCGAAAGAAGGGATTTACAGAAGTTAAGTCGCAGAATGGAGAATTCATGACCCATAAACTTAAACATACTGAGAATACTTTCAGGTAAGAAGTAGCAACTAGTTAATAGTAACTGTGTTCACATGCAAAAAAAATTTTAAAATGTCAGTCTTCCCATCCTGTGCTTCCAGACAGAAACGTGCTAAACAGGCAGCATGCTTTTGTTGTGAGGTCATTAGCCATTGTCTTAGAGATACTCAGTCAGCAGGTCCAGTTCTCATATCACTAACAGAAGACCAGCAGTCACCGCTCAGACAGGGCTTAGTCTGCTTTTCCCATTATTTTGAAAGGCAGATCATGCTTGGCATCCATGTTTTTGTTCACTGACCTTTTGTGAGATGAGTGTATTAGAAAACATTATGACTGGGATTCATATCATTCAATGAATCTCTATATGGTCTGACCACCTTCCTAAGAGACCTTTCTCAGTACCATTTTCAAGAATGCATTTTCTAAAGGTTGTAAATAAATACTGTGTAAGACTAAGATTGTTTTGTGGTGAAATACTTGGGAAACATTGAATTAAGCTAAATTCATCAGATTTCTTAACCACATGACTTTGAGAGCCCTTCATGCTCATTTGCATTGGAAGTCTCTAAGAGGTAGTGAGAGGGTATGGACAGACTGCTCTATTTTATACAGTTTGGAAAAACTCTCTTGTATAGCTTGAGCTTTCCCCTCAACATAACCCCCTGCCCCATCAAATTGAAAATCTGGGCAACTGATTATCAGACAGATGAGACCAGCATATGCAGGTAAATCATCATTTCTAAATACAGTCAAATCCTGAGAGCTCTCTACCAGTTTTGTAGAAGAACTTGAGGTGCAGACACTGGGCTGGCTACGTGATTCCTGTGCTCCTTCCCCACAAAACACTCCCTCCAACCACTGGAGCCGAATTCCAACCTCTGTTACGTCACTGGTTGCTGTGCCAGATGTGCTGGAGAAGAGTCTTGGGTTCCTGCAATGTGGATTTCCCTGGGCTTGTTCCTTGGCTGCAGCCTTGCCTAGAGACCCTGTTTTTCTGAACACTTCAAACAAGAAAGTCATCAAGCAGGTATGAGGGAGAAATTTGACATGCTCCTCACACCAAAGCCTTTGTAATATTCAAAAGCAGGCGGAGCTACTAGTGATAGACATTTCAATCTCATCCAAGAGGCTAAGGTGGATAAATACAGTTGCCCCAAAACAATTTTTCTATACATAAATTTGAGTAGAAACCTACTCATGTTTATCCAAAGGAGAACCTAAAGCATGCAGAAGAAAAGGTGTACGTAAAAGATCTAAATAAAATGATGAAGGTGTAAGAAAGGTAGAATCTATAGATATTACTTGGGATTGCCAAGAGAATAGATGTGAAAATTAAGTTTATTGAACATCCATAGAAAATCTACAAAGCAAGTTGATTCAGGTTGGTAAGTTGAGTCTAAAACTTGCTGAAGTGCCTGTAGTTTAATGTTTTAATGCCCTAGAATAGTGTTAGGTTCATGAAAAGTATTCAATGAATATTACCTAATATTATAATTTTTTAATTAATAGTTTAAAATACGTCTTGTAAGCATAAGGTTCTTTAAGGTGTAAGTTTTTTGTTAAGAGAAATAACATTGAAAAAATCTGTCAGTACTGTTTAACAATTAGCATACTTGCCAACAAGCTTCAGTCAAAGCTCAAGTTAATAATTAACATGCCTATTGTGTAGAAATCCAAAAAGCTGGGTAATTTGAAGGGAGGAATAGTCACAATGGATGGTGACAAGTTAAGTGCTAAGAACCCTTACATGTGACTCTGGCCTTAATTTTTCTATTTTGGACAGGAAAAAAAAATACCTAGGAACAAGCTGCTACCATATTATTTATTTTTGTTTAGCCACCAACATATGTGAGTTTTAGTTTCAATTAGAAGTTCATGCTGACTGAAGCAGAGAAGTACAGTTTTGCTCCATATACATATAAAATGAGAAGAGAGGAAGAGAGTATCAGCCTCTATTTAGATAAGTTTGGTACGCACCAGCTTAACTGAAAACAAGCTGTGTTCTCAATGGTCAAAGGCCTAATACTCATCTTGACTTACACCTAAAGAAGCCAAGGACGGCGCGGGAGAAAGAACTTTATGGAAGAGATTTCCACCTTAAGTGGTACCCTAATGCTGAGGTCGTGCACATAGGCAGAGGTGGTGTGAACAAAACTGTTGCTCTTGTTTTGAGCATAGCTGCTTATGTTTGATTTAATTACTGTTCCCTTTGATATTTGCGTTTTCTTGTAACTCACTTGTTTTCTCTAAAACATGACATAAAAATCTCAATTCAATAAGCAGGATACAGCGATGCAAATTATTACCAAGGGTTTTACAGAAAGTGCAAAATGAAGGGTTTTTTGATTTTTTATTTTTGAAGGTGGGAATTAAAAGGTTTTTTCCCGATTATAGAAAAAAAGTACTCATTATAAAAACGCTCAGAAAATAGAAGAATAAAAATAAGCACTCACCACCCAAAGATAACCACCAGTAACACTTTTTCCAGGTATTTATCTATGCGTATACTATTCAAGATAAATGCACACGTGTGTATATTTATATGTAGTATATACATGTGTGTGAGTATACTTACAATTTTACATTGATTCTTGCACTGTGCATAAGAATGTATCATAGCTTGCTTTCTATGCCAATAAATATAAGCCTATAATTAATGATACTAGATTCCACTGGATGGATGTATTATTACTTATTCAGCCAGTCCTTAATGACGGACATATTGATTGTCCAAAATGAAGACTGAGCGACACCTAGTGGAATCCATAGATGTTTCCATAGGCATGTGTTTTGCCGGTTCAGTTCCTGTACAGTAATATGATGAACACAAAGAGAGAGCAAACTCATTTTTGAAAGGAAAGACCCTAAATTGACTGAGAGAGAAGTCACAGGCCTGTGAACCTAGAAGAGCCTGAAAGAGCCTTTGATGACAAGGTTTTGAGGGACCCTTTAACCTTGTTTGAGTTCAAAATAAAAGTTACTTGTAACCGACAAGAGCCTAGGCCAATAGTTCTAAATATTTTTTTTTTTTGAGACGGAGTCTCGCTCTGTCGCCCAGGCTGGAGTGCAGTGGCCGGATCTCAGCTCACTGCAAGCTCCGCCTCCCGGGTTTATGCCTTTCTCCTGCCTCAGCCTCCCGAGTAGCTGGGACTACAGGCGCCCGCCACCACGCCCGGCTAGTTTTTTGCATTTTTTTTTTTAGTAGAGACGGGGTTTCACCGTGTTAGCCAGGATGGTCTCGATCTCCTGACCTCGCGATCCGCCCGTCTCGGCCTCCCAAAGTTAGTTCTAAATTTTTTAACCTAAGCCCTTAGTAAGAAATAAATTTTACATAATGACCCAGTACACGCCTGTATATGTTTTCATAACTGAAACAAGTGTGTCAAGAAATGGTAGTTTCTTTTGCTCTATGCAGTGCACTCTGATATTTTCTGTTTCTTTTTTTTTTTTTAATGTTGATTACAAACTACTAAATTGACTTTCCGGTCTGCAGCTTGAAAATTATTATTCTGGAGGACACAGTATATTCAGAACTACTTCAGTGTTTAAAAAGCATGATATATAATATACATATATATTATAAAATCAATATTGCACAGTGTATTTCTTGAGACCATCTCTTGTTTTATTCTTTCTCTTGTTCCACAGCTAGAAATACTGTGCCATTATTTAAATGTAGTACATGATATTAGGGTGTGGTAATTCTTTTGCTCCTTAGACAAAAATGTCAGGAATAGGATATCTACGTTCACATCTAGTTAAGAATGACCTTACTACTTGCTAATAAGTATTTAAATGGCAAAGCTGTATCTCTGCCTCTTAAAGACTACTTATAACAAGGGCCTTTAAGCCTAAATTAAGCCACTAAATTCTGCTTAGTGAAGCCCCAGGCAAATCCAACTTAGGTGAATTCCGTGTTAGTGAAAATGCTGTATTCCACCGAAGTCCTACTTTGAGTATCAACATGTTTTAAAATTATCAGTGTTCTAACTGTATCATATAGCAAATTTATTAAAGAAACTCAGGGGTCACAGTAGGTGCTAATGATATGTCTCCATCCTCTTATAGATGTGTAAAATACTAAAAATACCAGTTCTGAAATAAAATTTTACCATAAGGACTCTTCGGATAGCATTCTGTCTTAAGTCTTAACATGTTCCCAGTTCTGCAATGAAGTCCCTGTGTATCTCCTTAATCACAAAATAAAATTCAACATAATTTCAATTTTAATTCTTATTTATATAAAAAAGTACCCATTTTCTTTCTGTTTTATAGGCTGTTCTATCTGATGAAGCATTGCTTCTGCTCAGGCATGGAAGGTAGCTAGACCTAGACTGTAGAAACTCTAGAGACAGAGTTTGGAAAGGTTTCTCTGAGACTCTTATCCTGAAGGTTTGAGGTGAGAGGTGGAGAGATAGGCTAACATGTTCTATTTCAGTTTATTCATTGTTTCATAACAAAACGTATTTAATTTCAGGTATAATTATAGTGACAAGAAGAGTACAACTAATAGATAAGCATTAGAATCTGATCATGGCTCAACTGCTTTCTAGCTACCAAAAGTCTGAGTATATTATTCTCTCTCTTACCTGTGATTTCCTTGTTTGTAAGGTGGGGATAATAAACCTAACCTGACATCTTCCCAGTTATTGTGACTGTTAAATGAAGTAGTGGATATGAAAAGGGTTTAGAAAGCATAAAGAATGACATGTAAGTAATAACCACTTCATACCAAGCTAATTTCATAATTTTAAGTCTGTATAAGGAGTATTCCAGTTGTGTTGGAGTCAAAGAGCATAGAAAATAGACAAATTGCAGCCATAGGTTAATGCAGTCATGAAGGACTTTCCTGGAGCAGCTCTGTAAGAATAGACATAAATCACTGTGTTTAGCTCTTAATCAAGAGGCAATGGGTAATTTCATCTGCCAGAGATCAGCTGCTAGAGTCAAGCTCAAGACAAAGTTGTGGATAGATGGATTTACTTCAATGCCTCTGCTTAGTTCAGCCACTTTTTCCCATTTGCAGTGCCTGAACCTTTGTGTCTTCCCTCCTGATCCATTACTCCAGGCAGACCCAAGTTAACCAGTAACTTATGGGAAAGGACTAGTAAGGCCACTAGGAGACTTTTGAACTCATTCACAAGTAACGTTTTGCACTACATGCCTTCCTTTCTAATAACAACTAATATTTATACTGTAGATGATATATAAATCATAGTATATCAGTATGATATCTATCATATTGATATAATACATAATCCCATGCAACTCGCAGAGGTAAATAGAATAAATAGTATTTGCCCCATTTTTCCATGTTGTAGCATGTATCTTTTTTTAAAACTGTGGTAAAAACAAACATAACCTAAAATTTACCATCTTAAGCATTTTTAAATGTACAGTTAAGTAGTGTCAGGCATATAGATCTCCAAAACTCTTTTCATCTTGCAAGACTGAAAGACGACACCCATTAAACAACAACTCTATTTCCTACCACCACCCACGCTCTGCCTCTGGTAACTACAGTTCTATTTCTGTCTCTATGAACTTGACTACTTTAGATCCCTCATATACATGGACTCACACAGTATTTGTATGATTTCTGTGACTGGCTTATTTCACTTAGCATAGTATCTTCAAGATTTATCCATGTCATAATAGGTAACAAGATCTCCTTCCTTTTTAAGTCTGAATAATATTCCATGGAATGGCTGGCCCACCTTTTATTTATCCACTCCTGCCATGATGGACACTTGGGTTGCATCAATCTCTTGGTCTTTGTAAATAGTGCTGCTATGAACACGGGTATACAAATATCTCTTCAAGACCCTGCTTTCCATTCTTCTAGATGTGTATCAGAAGTGGGACTGCTAGATCACGTGGTAGTTCTCTTGTTGATTTTTTGAGGAACCTCTATACTGTTTCCATAGCAGCTGCACAACTTTACAATCCCATTTTGCAGTGCATATTTGTCCCATTTTACAGCTGAGGAAACCAAGCGCAAGTGGCAGAGCAGAGGCTCCCATTCAGACTCTGATTCCAGGCAGACCCCTTCCCCAGCCTACCCCTTGGGCTAATGAGAGGCAGTGGGGATTTGGTCTGGGATGCAAAAGCCGCAGACCGACCTCCCCTTCCTCCAGGGAGACTACAGGCAAAAGCATGTAAACCCCTTTCCATTGCCCCCAAACCACAGCCGCCCTGGAGGGAGGGCCAGTGTGGACACCAAGGAGGCTGAAGGCGCCCCCCAGGTGGAAGCCGGCAAAAGGCTGGAGGAGCTTCGTCGTCGTCGCGGGGAGACCGAGAGCGAAGAGTTTGAGAAGCTCAAACAGAAGCAGCAGGAGGCGGCTTTGGAGCTAGAGGAACTCAAGAAAAAGAGGGAAGAGAGAAGGAAGGTCCTGGAGGAGGAAGAGCAGAGGAGGAAGCAGGAGGAAGCCGATCGAAAACTCAGAGAGGAGGTAAGGTGGGCGCTAGCCCTCTGAGAACGTTGCACGAGAAAATTCCCTGGTGCCATGCGGCTGCTCTTTTGAGCATGGGCTCTCAAAAATATTTTTTAAGAATAATAAACTTAACATGTGCTAGTTACGGTTCTAAAACTTGTAGACATATTAATTTGTCCACTGCTTCTAAGAACTCGCTGACGTGGGTACTTATCCCCATTTTACAGATGAGAAAACTGAGGCACAGAGAGGTTTGTTTTTGTTTGTTTGTTTGTTTCTTTGTTTTGTAATTTTCCTGAGGTCTCCCTTGTGTTAACCCATTACCCTTTACTTCCTCTCAAAAGGGAAAAGTTAGAAAGCTGAGAAGGATGAAAGGTCTGCAAATTAGTTACCAGAATGAAGTTATGAGATACTTCTTTTCTAATAGTTGGAGAGTTTTTATAGAGAAGATTTTTTTTAAATTTTTTTTTTTTTTTTAAATGAGCAAGTAAGTACATTAGAATGTAAATAGGCAGGGACAGTATCTGCATTGTTCATTACTGTGTACCCAGGACCCCATACCGTGCCTGACATGCAGGAGGAACCCCATCATTATAAACAGATGAATTTGTTTCATCTTTTAAGACAGAGCTAAAAACAGCAGATAAAGTTACAAGGAGGAACATTTTAGCTTAGCATATGAAATAATGTGTAACCAACTACAACTTACAGTACTACAGGTTACAAAGTGCATTCTTTCCTTTCATTCTGAGGTATGTTGTTCTCATTTTATGGGAAAAGAAACCAGGAATCAAATAGTTTGAGTGACTTATTTGAAGATTTTTGACTAATAAATGGTAGAATCAGTATGGAGACCCTGCTTTTCCAACTCAGAGCCTAGAGCTTTTGAAATAGCGATCTTCCATCATTCAAAATATGAAAGAAAAAAAAAAACTTTCAATGGCATTTTGACATGGATCCTATGCAAAATTTTCCGGAACTGTATGGAAAATTTGGATACATTATTTTGAGGTCTCTTTTAACTCCAACTTTCAATGAGCCAATTACCTTTGGTTGGGAAGTAATCAGGATGATAGAGTTTTGGAGTTAAACACACCCAGGCTTTTTTTTTTTTTTTTTTTTTTTTAAAAGACGGAGTCTGGCTCTGTCACCCAGGCTGGAGTGCAGTGGTGCAATCTCGGAACACACCCAGTCTTCTAACTCTGCCACTAACAAGCTGGGGCCTTGGGAAATCTGGACTACTCTGTGTCTTTTCCTTATCTGTGAAATAATATCCACTTTGCAGGAATTCTTCTGATAATTTAATAGATCATTGTGCTTCCAGTGCCTAGCACATTCTAGGCACTCAAAAATCGGTAGATATCATTATTGCCATCATTGTTATTATGATTATTATTCAGAGGAGGAGAGTATCAGGAAAGGCTGAAGGGAAATCGTGAAGTCTTGGAACTGGATTGAACCTAGGAGATTATTTGGGCTAAACTACGAAACACAGGATCCTTCTACGGCATCCTCTAACAGAAGAACATCTAGTCTCTGCTTGAGAACACGCAGTGATAATGATCTCACAGTTTAAGAACTACCAAAGACTGCATAAATCTCTCAGAAAATCAAGTTGTGCAACTTGATCAGAGCCCTGAATTGTTTGCCTGATAGAGAAGACAGAGTATTCTCGACTAGGAATGAAGACACAGAGGGGTTAATGGGACAGTCTGTAAACATTTACGTTTGCACCACTATGGTGCAGTGTCTACAGTATTTCAGGTTTGTCAGACCATCTCAAATTATAGATTCACCTGCAGTGGGGAGCACCCATAAAATCACCTCTTGTACCATCTGGCAAATATAGTACCACAGATTTAGATAGCTTTTCACATAAGTTATTTATTTGTCTTCACAACACAACTCTCCTAGGATGTAGGTAGAAGGAATATTCATATTCCTTTTACATATACAGAAGTGTGAGGTCCTTGTTAATGACCCACAGGACAGTGGTGATTATGTGTCGCCCTATGGGAAATCACCATAATGAGTGTTAGTCTAAGCCAGGGGTGTCCGCTCTTTTGGCTTCCCTGGGTCACATTGGAAGAAGAATTGCCTTGGGCAACACATAAAATACACTAATACTAATGATTGCTGATGAGCTGAAAAAACAAAACAAAACAAAACAAAAAACAAAGATGTCTCATAATGTTTTGAGAAAGTTTACGAATTCGTTGGGCCACATTCAAAGCCATCCTGGGCATCGTGGCCCCTGGGCTGTGGGTTGGACAAGCTTGGTCTAAGCATTTTACATGTGCTTTCTCACTGAGTCCTCACAAAAGCCCTATAAAATGAGTACTATTGTTATCCCTGTTTTACAGATGAAGAAACTGAGCCACAGAGCAGATAAATAACATGGCCAAGGTCAGGCCATTGGAAAGTAGCACCACCAGAATGCAAATACAGGCAGCTCGACTCCAGCTCTCAGGCTAAACCTCTGGTGACCACCTAGAAGGGGAGTGTCCAGCCTGCGGCCTGAGTCTGCTGCTTCTCCTGACTGTGCTCTCTCTCCTACAGCACTCTTCCCTTTGGCTGTGAAGCTGGAACTGATGCCTCGTTATTTGTTCTTTCTCTCTTAGGAAGAGAAGAGGAGGCTAAAGGAAGAAATTGAAAGGCGAAGAGCAGAAGCTGCTGAGAAACGCCAGAAGATGCCAGAAGATGGCTTGTCAGATGACAAGAAACCATTCAAGTGTTTCACTCCTAAAGGTTCATCTCTCAAGGTATTTTTTTTTCCCCCAGAAAACTTCTATTAGAATATGATAGAAACTGGATTTTAGCCCCTTGTTTAGTTATTGATTATTCAGGGCCTTTGCTTCATTTATCTTTTTGCTATCCTTCCATGTTAATCTGTTCAGGCTGCTATAACAAAATACTTTAGACTGGGGCCAGGTGCGGTGGCTCATGCCTGTAATCCTAGCACTTTGGGGGGCCAATGTGGGCAGATCACCTGAGGTCAGGAGTTCGATACCAGCCTGGCCAACATGGTGAAACCCCACCTCCACCAAAACATTCAAAAATTAGCCGGACATGGTGGCACGCACCTATAATGATCCCAGCTACTTGGAAGGCTTAGGCAGGAGAATCACTTGAACCTAGGAGGTGGAGGTTGCAGTGAGCCGAGATCATACCACTACACTCCAGCCTGGGCAACAGAGCAAGACTCTGTCTCAAAATTTATCACTCACAGTTCTGGAGGCTGGGAAGTCCAGCAGATGTGGTGTCTAGTGAGGGCCTGTTCTTCAAAGACAGCACCTTCTCCCTGTGTCTTCACATGGTGGAAGGAGAAGGGGAAAAAACAGGCTCCTTTAGGCCTCTTCTATAAGGGCACTAGTCCCATTCACAGGGGCCCCACCCTCATTACCCAGTTACCAACCAAAGGTCTTGCCTCTTGGTACCAACACATCAAGGATTCAGTTTCAACATATAAATGTTGGACCATAGCACCTCCTTTCAGCTGTTTCACAGCTTCTCTTTGTTTACAACATATGGAAAGGAGAGACAGTAGTGAAATTTTTAATCTGTTATTTATTAGATGCTTTGGCATACATTAAAATGACATTCGGTGATTATCTCTGAATTTTACTGATCCACATTCTCCATGTGCCTCATTCCTTTGAGCAACTGAGAATAGAAACATTTAAAATTTATAAAATGGGAAAGTATATTTTAAAAGTTTAAGCTGCTTTTCATGCTAGCTGTTCATTTCTTCTTTGTCATGATTAAAAGCCAGCTAGAAACGATACAGGTGCAAATTTTAAAGCAATTATTATGGGAGGAGGTGAAATGTGACTTGGAGAGGGTCCTTTTCCAGGATGGCTTTGGTCCTATGACAGCCTTCATGGAAGACAGCTCCTATTTGATGTAAAACGGAGTGCTGCCAAGACAACAGAGAAGGAGCAGGAATCAGCTGAGTCAGGTAGATGATAGAATAGTTGAGATGTAGGGAAAACACAGTGGACTCAAGAAAGTGGCATCTTTGATTTATAATCAGTCCACCATTATTGCCAGTGGCGATTTCTTTGAGGATTAACATTATTGAGCATCTAGCACAGTGCTTTATATCATATTGAAGATACTTAATAAAAATTTGTTAAATGATGAATAAATGAATGAATCTTCAGAGACTGGAACCTTTAACATTTCATTTTCCATCAACCTAGCTAGGTTATAAAGCATCAACAATGGGCAAAGCCATGATAGAATTATACCCAGGTCTGGCCAGGCACAGTGGCTCACACCTGTGATCCCAGCACTTTGGGAGGCTGAGGCAGGTGGATCACCTGAGATCAGGAGTTCTAGACCATCCTGGCCAACCTGGTGAAACCCCATCTCTACTAAAAACACAAAAATTAGCTAGGCATGGTGGTGCACACCTGTAATCCCAGCTTATTTGGGAGGCTGAGGCAGGAGAACCACTTGAACTTGGGAGGCAGAGGTTACAGTGAGCTGAGATAGTGCCACTGCACTCCAGTCTATGCAAAAGAATGAGACCCTGTCTCTAAAAAAACAAAAAAGGAATCATAGCGAGGTCTGGATGGTTAATTATGTACATATGTATAAGGTTATATCAAGTGGCACACCAAAATGACCAAAAGCTGCTTACATTTTACAGTTTTTACTTGTTCCACATGAAAATAAGAATTTTTAAATCCCCGAATAACTTCGCTTAGTCTTTTTTTTTTTTTTTTTTTTTGAGATGGAGTCTCGCCCTGTAGCCCAGGCTAGAGTGCAGTGGCACAATCTTGGCTTACTGCAACTTTCACCTCCCAGGTTCAAGCAATTCTTCTGTCTCAGCCTCTCAAGTAGCTGGGAGTACAGGCGCACGCCACCACATCCAGCTAATTTTTGTATTTTTAGTAGAGATGGGGGTTTCACCATATTGGCCAGGCTGGTCTCGAACTCCTGATCTCATTATCCGCCCACCTTGGCCTCCCAAAGTGCTTGGATTACAGGTGTGAGCCACCGTGCCCGGCTTACTTAGTCTTTATGATGGTCTGGGTCCCAGTCATATTTCTGATACCTCCCAAACAAATTATTTGTACTCGAACCCTTGTCTCAAGATCTGCTTCAGGGAAAATTGAAACTAAGTCACAGAGGGATTATACATTTACTATCTGATTATTTATGAAATACTTAATGCATGCTATGTCCTATGAGGGAAAGAACAAAGCAAGGTGGCTGCCCTGATGGCACTAATGACTGCCTCAAAGAAACAATTCAAGAAGTACTAGGGTGACCAAATGCTGATCTCAGAGCAGAGCAAAATGAGTAGAGAAAGGCCTTGTGGAGTAGGCAAGCTTTATTTATAAACACTGAAATTTGAATTTTATGTAATTTTATTGTGATTTTCTAATGTCATGAAATATTCTTCTTCTTTTGATTTTTTTTAACCATTTAACAATGTGAAAACCATTCTCAAGGCCAGGTGCGGTGGCTCACACCTGTAATCCCAGCATGTTGGGAGTCCGAGGCAGGTGTATCACCTGAGGTCAGGAGTTTGAAACCAGCCTGGTCAACATGGAGAAACCCTATCTCTACTAAAAATACAAAATTAGCTAGGCGAAGTGGCAGGTGCCTATAATTCCAGCTACTCAGGAGGCTGAGACAGGAGACTCACTTGAATCTGGGAGGCGGAGGTTGCAGTGACTGAGATCGCACCACTGCACTCCAGTCTGGGCGACAGAGCGAGACTCCATCTCAAAAAAAAAAAAAAAAAATTTCAAGTTGGTGGCTGTGTGTGGAAAACACAGGCTGCACTTGGCCCATGGACAAATGGGCCATGGCTTGCAGACCCCCTGCTCTAGAAAACAAAACCTCCCTGGGCTCAGGCTATCTCTGTACAGCTCTCAGAGTTCAGCCCATTCCCAGTCTAGGTCTTCTGTTCCTGACTCAACAGTAGTCAAAGAAAACCATGCTGTCGGCTGGGCGAGGTGGCTCACGCCTGTAATCCCAGCACTTTGGAAGGTCAAGGCAGGTGGATCACCTGAGGTCAGGAGTTCGAGACCAGCCTGACCAACATGGAGAAACCCTGTCTCTACTAAAAATACAAAATTAGCTGGGCGCAGTGGCGTATGCCTGTAATCCCAGCTACTTGAGAGACTGAGGCAGAAGACCTGCTTGAACCTGGGAGGCAGAGGTTGCAGTGAGTCGAGATCAGGCCATTGTACTCCAGCGTGGGCAACAAACGCAAAACTCCATCTCCAAAAACCAAGAAGAAGAAAGAAGAAGAAAACCATGCTGTCTCTTTCTACCTTCTTTAAAATCCCGCTCAAGCCTTCCTTGAACAGTCTTGGTAACATGAAGAAAATAGTAGTCATTTAGACTTCTAAATTCTACTGTGGTTTTTTTTTTTTTCAGGAGAAACTATAACCCACCCTTCCCACCTCTTTAATTATTTCCTCTCTACCAAATTTCTCAACTTACTTATTTCTCTGGTTTTTCCCTCAACCAAATGCTGACTTCCCATTTCATCTAGTGCCCCCCAGGAAGCCATTTAGCTACTCCCTCTGGTGGAGAGGCATCTGTCTGCAGTTGATTAAAGTAGATGTATAAAAAAGGTCCAGAATATTTTAAATTTCTACATAAGAGAGACACATATTCAGGGGCAGACAGTCTATGCTTCCCTCCATATATGTGCCTTGAAGAACCTGCTGTGACTCTGATTTTCAAGTTCAATTTCATGTTCTACAACTTAATTGGGATAGCTATTAATGCCCTTGGCCCTGCAGCTTTTATAAGCGGTTACAAGTTAGCATTGTAGAATACCAATGGGAGGAAAAATATTTGCTATTTGATATCAAAATACTGTCAACTAGTATTTTTTTAAAAAATATCTCATGATTTCTATTCCTTGTTTGGGAAAGTCTGTACCTGGTTTTTCATCATTAAATTATGTTAGCAGTGAGTGATTTTCATATGTAATAAAGAATAGATTTTAAGTAAATTCAATTCAAAGATTTTTTTATTTCTATTACTTTCATTGGTTGGGGGCAGGGTGTGGAGTAATGAGAGCACCAATTTTCTAAAACAAATAGTGTGCTTTTATTTGAGTTTTATCGAGACAATACTGCCACCTCTTGGTCTTCAGAAGAACCAATTTCCCTCATTAAACTTAAACAGAACATTTAATATACAAATTCAGTACAAATTGTTAAATTACATAGAGCCACTAAGTTAGGATATTTTCTAACAGGAGTGCATCAGTAAACCAACAGTGCATCCTGACAAAATGTGTGGAATGCGATGATGAAGTCAAGCTATGTTAGCTATGATAGAAGCAAAAGGAGGAGTAGGAATCTGAGAACCTCGGTGATTTGAATAAATGCCAGGGCTAAGGTTAGAAAGATGATCCTTGAGTCATAAAGATGCTGCAGGTGGGACAAAGAACAATTCTCACCTCCGCTATCCCCTTCTGCGGTGCCTCTGTCCTCCCACCACACTGAATTTTTCTTTATCCTTCAGTCTCACCACGCTGCGTGCCTTATGGCTCTCCAAATCTTTGTACATGTGCTTGCTTTGCCAGAAATGCCCTTTCCTGGCTAAGCCATGCACTTCCTTCCTCACTTTCATAAATCCATTTCTGAAATGTGTAAACCAGAAACTACTAATCTCAGCTGAAATATCAACACTACTGAAAAGCCTTCTCCAACTCCCCCAGATAGTTACTTCTCTTATACACACAGCATTTTTTTCTTTAATATTGTACCTGCTGTTAATTTTTAAATATTTTATTTTATATACTGTATTAGTCTTCCCTACTAAATTCTGTGTTCCTTAAAGAATAAGACCTTGTCAGCCGGGCACAGTGGTTCACGCCTGTAATCCCAGCACTTTGGGAAGCCGAGGTGGGCAGATCACAAGATGAAGAGATCGAGACCATCCTGGCCAAGATGGTGACCAAAAATTAGCTGGGCGTGGTATCACGCATCTGTAGTCCCAGCTACTCGAGGCTGAGGCAGAAGAATCACTTGAACCCAGGAGGCAGAGGTTGCAATGAGCCGAGATTCTACCACTGCACTCCAGCCTGGCAACAGAGCGAGACTCTGTCTGAAAAAAAAAAAGAATAAGACCTTGTCTATCTTAGTTTACTCAGGTTGCCATAACAAAATACCATAGACTGGATGTATTAAACAATAGAAATGTATTTCTCACAGTCCTGGAGGCTGGAAGTCCAAGATCAAGGTGCGAGCAGATTCAGTTTCTGATGAGAGCCCTCTTCATGGCTTGCAGATGGCTGCCTTCTTACTGTGTCTTCACATGGTGGAAGGAGAGCGGGTGCACTCTCTAGTGTCTCTTCTTGTAGTGATAATAATCCTGTAGGATCAGAGTTCCACTGCTGTGATCTCATTTAACCTTAATTACTTCCTTAGAGGCCCCATTTCCAAGTACAATCACATCGGGGGTTAGGGCCTCAACATATGCATTTTAGGGGGACACAATTTGATCAATAGCACTATTTTATTTATTAGTATTCAATTTTATATAGAAGGTACATAATTTATTGGCTAATTGGCTGACAGGCTATCAGGGATAAAAATAGGATGGGTGGGTGGATGGATGGATGGATGGATGGATGGATGGACGGACGGATGGATGGATGGGTAATATTTATTAAAAGTGCCAGTGCATTGCATGGTTCTAAACTATTTCACCTTACTCACCTGAGAATTTTTTCTACAGAAATATAATTCTAAGTTTATAATTAAAATCAGAAAAATAAGAGTTACTTTATAGATTTTTTATATATCCCATAAACTCAGCACTACTTATAGTACTTTTTTGCATAAAGGTTTTTAAGTAAGAGTTTGCTTTTATCTTTGTAGGAAATCATCAGGAAGAATGAAATGCTCTTACTAATATCTATAAAAGTGCTATTCAACTGATATTAGAGAGGAAGCATGTTTTCAAAAGAAAAACTCTGTGATACTTATTAATTGCTCATGAATCCCAGACCAGTCTGGGTCAGAAAGAACCCCTCACATCTTGGAGAATTGTGTGTCCCCTCAAAATTCATATGTTGAAATCCTAACCTTCAATATGATGGTATTAGGAGGTGGGACTTTTGGAAAACAATTAGGTCATGAGGGTGGAGGCCCCCTTAATGGGATTAGTGCCCTTTTAAGAAGAGACACAGAACCTTACTTGCTCCCTTTCTATTCTGTGCTATATGAGGACACAGCAGGAAGGTGGCCATCTGCAAACCATGAAGAGAGCTCTCAGCAGACCCCAACCATGCTGGCAACCTAATCTTAGACTTCCCAGTCTCCGGAACTGTGAGAAATGCTTGTTGTTTTAAATCATCCAGTCTATGGTAATTTCTCACATTAACCGAGACTCACTAAGACAAGGGGCCACTGAAACATACTAGCCTAGGGCAACGATAATCTAGTAGATTTCTTGGCTGTCCTGAACAGGGAACAAAATGGAACTTTTCAGCATGCCTGTGCTTTGGCACATGCAGTCATGAGCAAAGAAGGTATTTGCTCATGGTATTGATAAGTCATGGGTGGCAGAGGATATTTCTAGTCTGGAGTTGGCTGTGGCATGGATTCAACAAATATTTGCTTATGGCCACCATCTAAATTTAAGTGATACAGTTTCAGTAATATATAATGTTTGATTTAGCAGCTTCAGTTGTAGCAAAAAGTTCCTAGCTTTAAAAAAAAAAAAAAAAAAAAAAGAATTAATCAAAGACTACTGAACTGCTGATTTTTTTCTATGTCCACCCCTGTTTCTCTGGGCTTATTTCCTAATTTCACACTTGGGCTAAGAGGGGCTTCATGGGAAGCCTCAGCCATTACAGATGAGCTGTGCCCCATCCTCATTCTACCTGCATCCCATCTTGTACGTTCCACGGCTAATGAAGTTCAACAATAGGCTTGATCATTGACCCTTGTCAAGTTAGGAAATCAGGTTAAGCAATAAGGGACTAGTTCACATTTCCTAGTTATTCAATCCTGTTACATACCAAATACATAGTTAAAACATTGTGGGAAAATTTTGTTAACTCAAATAGCATGGTATGTCTCTAGTAAATACATCCTAAAGGGTAACGGTGTGTATTTTTGGAAAAATTATTTAAGTTTGTTGTTGTTTTGTTTGTTTGTTTGTTTTGAGACAGATGCTCGTTCTGTCACCCAGGCTGGAGTACAGTGGCACAGTCTTGGCTCACTGCAATCTCTCCCTCCCAGGTTCAAGCAATTCTCCCATCTCAGCCTCCCAAGTAGCTGGGGCTACAGGCACGTGCCACCACATCCAGTTAATTTTAGTATTTTTTAGTAGAGATAGGGTTTCCCCTTGTTGACCAGGCTGGTGTTGAACTCCTGACCTCAAGTGTTATTTGCCTGCCTCGACCTCTCAAAGTGCTAGGATTATAGGTGTGAGTCTCAGTGCCCAGCCAATTATGTTAGTCTTAAAATTCAATTATTTTGTCACTGATTATATGGTTTTAGAGGCATTTTTTATTCCATTTCTGTCTAGTCTTTATTTTGCCTTGAAAACTTGATTTTTTTTTTTTTTACACATTTTCTCTATCCTGTATCAATCCTACCTTCATTCCCCCAATCTCACTACCAAATACCTTATATGTAGTTTTGCTTTCTAGCAGATCTATGCACAGTAACTCAAATACCCTTATATGCTCTTTGGTGTGTTTATTTAACAGGTTCAGGGATGATATTGGCCTGGGCTGAGAAACACTGCTTATAAGCTTGAAATATTAATTGGGTTTATTTTCTTTTGCAATTCCTAGATAGAAGAGCGAGCAGAATTTTTGAATAAGTCTGTGCAGAAAAGGTAAATATGGTTGATGGTTCAGTTGAACTAATCAGCTAGCATATGTATGGGAAGATTCACTCTCATATTTTTATATGTGTTTACTTTTTTAGCAGTGGTGTCAAATCAACCCATCAAGCAGCAGTAGTCTCCAAGATTGACAGCAGACTGGAGCAGTATACCAGTGCAATTGAGGTGAGCATTGTCCTCAGCGTTATGATCCCGCTGAACAGAAATGGATTCTGACTACATAGAAGATCATAAAAACACTTAGGACAATAATCAAGTCCAATAGCCCTAGGAGTGTTAGAATTTTTTTTTTTTTTTTTTTTTTTTTTGAGATGGAATCTCACTCTGTTGCGCAGGCTGGAGTGCAGTGGCAAACTCGGCTCATGGCAACCTCCGCCTCCCAGGGTCAAGCAATTCTTCTGCCTCAACCTCCCAAGTAGCTGGGACTACAGGGGCCCACCACCACACTTGGCTAATTTTTGTATTTTTAGTAGAGACAGAGTTTTACCCTGTTGGCCAGGCTGGTCTCGAACTCCTGACCTCAAGTCATCCGCCCGCCTTGGGGTCCCAAAGCCGAATGTGAGCCATCACACCTGGCCCCTGATAGTGTTAGAATATTAATGATTTATTACACTTTGAAATTCTAAGTTCTAAGAAATATAGTAATAAAGATAAATTTTAGAAGAGTTTTAAATAAATTACTTTCTACTTTCAGCCTGAATATTATTTAATGAAAACGGTTTTTTTTTAAACAAATGGGTTTATTGGTATTTATTTATATATACATATATATATATACACACACACACACATATATATATATATAATTTTTTTGTTGTTGTTGTTTGTTTGTTTGAGGCAGAGTTTTACTCTTTTTGCCCAGGCTGGAGTACAATGGCGCCATCTCGCCTCACTGCAACCTCCACCTCCCGGATTCAAGCGATTCTCCTGCCTCAGGCTCCTGAGTAGCTGTCATTATAGGTGCCCACCACCACGCCCAGCTAATTTTTTGTTTGTTTTTATTTTTAGTAGAGACAGAGTTTTGCCATATTGGCCAGGCTGGTCTCAAACTCCTGACCTCAGGTGATCCGCCCTCCTCAGCTTCCCAAAGTGATGGGATTACAGGCATGAGCCACTGTGCCCGGCCAGTATTTAACTATATTTTTTATACATTCACATGTATATTTCCAATATCCCTAATTCCTTATAAAATATGTTCCCATATGTGGTTTGAATAGGTCTCTCACAATCTTACTTAATCCTCTGTTTATAAAAACCTTTTATTATCAAATAAAAATAGTAGTATAATGTAATATAAAGATATCCAACCCAAGTTTAATCATCATCAATTTCAAACTGATTGTTTTATATTTGAAGGACCACAGTTTTATGTGTCTATCTACTCCACCTTTTTTTTCCCCACCCAACTGACCTGGGGGTTTTATTCTTTTGGAAATGTGTATTTCCCAATACCAAAGCGCCAAGAAGGAAGGTGTCATTGATCAAGATGTGATCCTGCTTTTTTCTCCTTTGTGTAGACTTTAGTCAATGGTTTTAGCCTCTTGCACATCAGAGCACCTGCTATGAAGTAACTGGATCAGTTTGATTTGATTTTTTCTTCTTCTTTATATTGTAGAGTGGAGATACACATATAATAGTTTACAGATGATATGAGGGAATAAGAGAGGCATCCGATGATTTATCAAAGGAATAATCAAGTCCTAACACTAAAGATGTGATTTACAAGACTAAATGTCCACTAAAATATAAAACAGATTGCAGATCTTTATTTTCTGTGGTTGAGTTGGTCATAGCACTAATAGGTGTAATGAAACCAAGACTGCAGCTTTAAACTTTGCATAGTCCAGTGAGATCATTCTTTATGCCATGGCCCCTCATAATGGTGCCACTCATCCTGGCTGTGCCTTCTTGAACATAGGCACAGGCCACAGAGCAGGACTGGAGGAGAAACTCAAGCCATTTGGGGTATGGCCTTCATTACTGCTGGCAGAGTGTCTTGAATACACTTCTTTCTTACTTACATTCATTCTTTACTCCTTCCAATATATTTCCCATGCAGGGGTATCTCAGTCTTTCCATCTTTCAGCACTTTCCTGCCTCAGGACTTTTGCACATGCTATTATCTCTGCATGGAATGGAGTTTGCTGCTCCTGTTTACTTCGCCACTTTCAAGTCTTCTGTCAGATCTGGTTTAAAATGTCACTTCCTCAGAGTAACCTTCTTTGCACCCCCAAACTAAGTACTGCCCCCTGATTGTGTGCCATGCTTTATGGCACATCATTATTTTTCATAGCACTTAGCACAATGTGAAATAAATACTTGTATAACTAGTTACTATCTTTCCTTTCTATTAAAATATAAGCCCACTGCAGCTGACTGTCTTCTTGTTTTCTGTTTGTTTTTTGGTTTTTGTATTTTATTGATTGATTTATTTATTTTGACATGGAGTTTCGCTCTTGTTGCCCAAGCTGGAGTGCAATGGTGCCATCTCGGCTCACTGCAACCTCTGCATTCCAGGTTCAAGCAATTCTCCTGCCTCAGCCTCCCAACTGTCTTGTTTTGAGCACCATTGTATCCCCAGAGCCTAGCAAAGTGCCCTTCATACAGTAGGCATTTAAGAAGTATTGTTGAGGCCAGGTGTGGTGACTCATGCCCGTAGTCACAGCACTTTAGGAGGCCAAGGCAGGAGGATCCCTTGAGCCCAGGAATTTGATACCAGCGTGGGCAACATAGGGACTATGCCCGGCTAATTTTTTCATATTTTTCTCTACAAAATAGAGGCCTATGGTTCCAGGTACTCGGGAAGCTGAAGTGGGAGGATCACTTGAGCCCTGGAGGTTGTGACTATAGTGAGCCTTGATTGTGCCACTGCACTCCAGCCTGGGTGACAGAGCAAGACCCTGTCTCAAAAAAGAAAAAAAGTATCTGTTGAAGAAACAAAGTAGAATATCAATTTCACAATAAATGGTGTCCAACAAAAAGCATATTTCATTTTTGAAAGATCCTCTGATCTAGCTGTGATGGTTTATTTTGAGGGACATATGTCATCAGGATAAAGTTTTACAACAGAAATTATCACTCTCATTTTTGGTGAAGGTGTTTACACAACGAATTTTTAAGATGATAATGTTGAGGAAGACAAACTCCCTGTAATTTTATGAGAACAAACTTCCCAGCACCAATCCTAAAAATAACTCACAAATTTCAGGGAACAAAAAGCTCAAAACCTACAAAGCCGGCAGCCTCGGATCTTCCTGTTCCTGCTGAAGGTGTACGCAATATCAAGAGTATGTGGGAGAAAGGGAATGTGTTTTCATCCCCCACTGCAGCAGGCACACCAAATAAGGTAAGCGTCTGATTTTTGCCTTTTAAGTGTAGAGGGGCACATGTTTTTTGCATGTTGATTGTGATTTGGGAATCACACTAGTAAATAATAAAAGCAGTGAAGAAGGTACAATTTGTATTTTGTTTTGCAATGACCACAAAAGCAAGCTCAGAGAGAGTGTGTTCCTGAGGTTGCATGATGTACTAAGCCTCGGCCATTGTACTCCAAATAAAGTGCCTGAGCTGAAACGTCCACCCTTGAAGTTGGAGTGGGGCGAGTTACAAGGGAAAGAAAACCAGATGACATATTCCATAAATATCAAGTGTTAAGGTTTATGGTTATGTGAAATTATACTTAATGATATTTTGAATTTGCTTTGAAAATTCCTTCCCAGGTAAAGTTTACTTCATTCTCTAATATTTTGGATGATTGTCCCTTTGTAGGAAACTGCTGGCTTGAAGGTAGGGGTTTCTAGCCGCATCAATGAGTGGCTAACTAAAACCCCAGATGGAAACAAGTCACCTGCTCCCAAACCTTCTGTAAGTACCTTCAGGTGTTTCTGAGTTTCTTTGATCTCCCAGCTTCTATCAGCAGAAGAAAACAAGCAGTTGTTCTGTTTACCTAGGAATGGCAATGCTCCTGTTCTTTGCTTTCCCCGATGAATAACAAACGGGAAAGTGTTCAGATTTACAGCTGTTCTAAGAAGCTGCATCGCAGTTACTGAGAGGGTAAAATGGAACCAAATAATCACCTCTACACCCTAACTGAGAGAAGGAATCAGCTAGAATATTGAGGCAGTTCGAATTTAGACCCTTTACTCGTCTATTTGTTTAGCTTCTATTCTATAGATTCTAGATAGAAGTTTGAAAATGAGAGGTCAAATCATTTTGGGTAGTTCTTTGTCAAGAGCACCCCAAACTTATTCCCAAAAGAATATGTATGTTGCCTATTGGGAACCCATATTTCCAATTTCCCTAGTTTTTATAACTTGGCACAAAAATGCAGTTATTGGGTAGTTGTTGAAATAATTGGTCTAATTGTGTTGTCAACACCTCCTCAGGAAAGTCATAAAACTGGAAACTAGAAAAACTGGTTACGAATGTTTTTGATAATTTAAAATTTTCTTAATTTATTAAGTGCAGCTATCTTACTAAAAATACATTTCTTTTCACCTTTTCGTTGAATGTATGACAATTGCCTTGCATTTGTCATTATAATAAGAAAAAGTATCAAGCTCCCCACTGTACATTGCTGAGCTTTCCCTGTTAAGTTTGCTTTTATAGCTTTGTTGGTGCTCAAGGGAGCTGAGAGTCCACTGTCATAATCCTACATTCTAGAGGAAGAAGAAAAACTTTCCAATCCTAGGCCTCTGTGCATTTAATTGCATCCATTGGCTCCATGCCATTTAATTGCATTTGTTGGCTCCATAGATAATATCCAAAGTCACTGACTTTTGTCACTTTCCAATTTAAAAAGGAAGAAATGGAAATGTTTGCAAATCCTTCTCGGACACAACTCTTTGAACCATTTAATTAATATACACCCCGAGATTCTTTGCATAAAGGCTCACAGGAGGTATAAACTAATGTCAACCCAATTTACAATTAGAAAATCTTTACACACTGATAAAAGCAACTTTTCCTCCCCTTCTCAATAGGTACAAGAATGGGGGTTTATAAAAGGATACAGTTGAGGCAAGAGCCTAGACCCAAAAGTTATGTGCTCTTTAGTGCCTCAAGTTTTCCAAGCATCTCTGGTAACATAAGGAGTAGAAATTATTTTCAAAAACAAAACGAAGCCATGGCAGTGTATATAAGTTTTGTGGTTCCATACCAGTGATTATTAACCCTTTTTGAATTATGAACCCCTTTAAAACCTAATGAAATTTAAGGACTCTCCCCCCCAAATATACATATAAAAACCAAGGCAGTCAATGGACCTACTGAGGAACTCTCAAGATAGTAAGTAAGGAGAGAAAGATCTATGTTTCCCTCTTTGATAAGTATGGAATATTTGGAGGAGATGCTAATTTTTGCAAGTTTATGATATTTGCAATCTTTCATTTTTGTAGCAGATTATACTCAAAACATTGATCCAGAACTTGCCCCCTATTCTTTTATTGGCACTTGAATTTGTAAACTTAAAAGTTTACCATCCTCTGTATGACATCCTAATGAGGTTAAAAATATAAAATTCAGTTATTATTATCATAGGTATAACTGTATCCAGGTTTCCACAGCAAAACAAAACATACACCATGTTCTGGGGTTACTGACAGCCTCCTAAAAAAAAAAAAAAAAAAAAGTATTGCAGAGAAATTACAAAATCATTGCCTGCTTTACCTACTAATTAGTATGTGACTTGCTAGATCACCCCCTAGAGGGTGGAGAAGAAAAGGAAAGAAGAACATGGCAGTTAGTATAGATTTTAGTGACATCCTTCTTCCCATTAGATTTTGTAGACTGGCATGGCTTCCCGAATGAAAACCAGATGGAAGAAAGTTCTATGAAATCAATGTTGTAAATACACCAGATTGCTACTGGGATGTCCCTTGCTATTTGTGGGTAGAATTTATAAGATTTCAGTGTAACTTTGTAACTGCAATTCAATTCTGAGTATGTCTGTTTTAGCTGGTTTGTCTATTCTTTGTGTCTAAACTACGTTACACAGCAATTAAAAAGCTAATTTGTCTTTCTTTTTGTTTAAAAAAAAAAACCAACAATGTCTTTCTCAGCTGATCTTCTGTTCCTCACTCTTTGGTCTCTGGTTGATTGGAAACCTGCTTCTCCTGCCTTCATTTCTCCCTCTTCTTCCGGAGTGGGTCTTTCTCTAAAATGTAGTCTGGTCAGGTAATTCCATTTATATTTCCCCTTTGATTTAAAATGCCAACTTATAACTCGGATGTTAATATTTTCTTAAAAGGACTCTTTAAACTCTTTAAGTGATCTTGAAAGATTCATCGGCAGGATTTATGGGAAGTGCAATCCATTTTCTTAGGTAGAAGAACATGCATGAGAAGGAAAAATATTTGTCTCATGTGAGTCAAATAAACAAAGCGATAATAGCTGCTTTCCAGAACTTCCCTCAGCATGTTCCTAATTATAGTTTCCAAAATTTTAAAACAGTCTTCCAGACAGTTTGGCAGCTTCCACCTATGCTGGCAAATGTAGTGGAATTCTACAAAAATAATCTGATTTGTTGCTTAATGGCTCCAAGTTAAATAGGTGTAACTCTCTAATAGAATATCAGGAATTCATGCCACAGAGGAAATCCAGAAACTCAGTAAGGTTTAGGCAAATCTGAAATGCTTCACATGGTATCATTTAACTATGCATTTTCGGTGTTACAGTCTCAATACTATCTATCAGAAATATGTCCATTTAGATCAGTGTCCATGGGTAAATGCAATTGCTGTTAGCTTTGCCTTCCTCCTGAGAAAAGGGTTTGCCAAAATAAGCATTACTATTTCAGTAAAACACATTTATTTTCTACACACTACCTTTTGCCAAGTACTAACATAAGCAAATGCTGGGAGAAAAGTAAATTGAAACAGAAATTTGGTTCCTTATCCAAATGAAATTAATTATGAGGTAGTAAATAAAGACTCTAAGCTATATAACTGTTATCGATCATATTTTAGTGTTTCCATCCCAAGATTTCCACATGTTCTTACACATGTCATCAACTGTCATCTTCTCGCATGGGTTCAATTTGTGATGAATGTTTATATTTGCGGGGTTCTACTGATCCACTTCTGAATTACCCACTTACCCCTCAGGAGACACAAAATGATTTTAGGGTGAGGGAGGTGCTGCTAGAAAAGGGACTTTGTGGCCAGGCGCAGTGGCTCACGCCTGTAATCCCAGCACTTTCAGAGGCTGAGGCGGGCAGATCATGAGGTCAGGAGATCGAGACCATCCTGGCTAACATGGTGAAACCCTGTGTCTACTAAAAATACAAACATTAGCTGAGCGTGGTGGCTTGTGCCTGTAATCCCAGCTACTCAGGAGGCTGAGGCAGGAGAGTTGCTTGAACCCAGGAGTCAGAGGTTGCAGTGAGCCGAGATCATGCCACTGCACTCCAGCCTCGGCGACAGAGCAAGACTCTGTCTCAAAAAAGAAAAAGAAGAAAGAAAAGTGACTTTGTTTGGGCTACCCGGCAGCGGATCCCAAGATAGTGATTCCAGAGCAAGTTGTTTACATGGAGGTGAAGAAAACACTACAGGGTGTGAGGTTGGGAGAAGGCAGCCTGCAAAGAAGGTGTTATTAAGCAAGTCCCCACATGGGCTGTTAAACCTTAATCCCACGGAGGAAATCCTGGAAGCCACCAGATAACACATACTTCAAAGTTACCCAAGCTGAGGCGAGAGTGAGCCTGAGAAATAATATTGCACCAACATTCACCAGTCAGCCATTGAGGACTGCTCCTGGAGATGTTATAATAACTCTCTGAACTTTCCAGCCTGCCTCCTGGGCAGGCGAAATGGGCATCTGTACCCAGAGAAAGTCCCTAGGCAGAGAAGTGCCATGTGGGCAGTTGGCAGTCAGGCTGGTGTGCACTAAAGTAGTAAGGGCTGGGGGAAAAGAGGTGAGTACTAATTGAGTTCATCTGTGAGTCAGGAAATGTTTATAAAACCCCAAATTATTTTTAAATAACCTATGATCTATTCACTTGTAAGAGTGCAGAAATTTAAAATGAGGCTACATTATTTTAAACATGCTCCTGTTTCACTTTTACTGATCAATAAACAGTAAGTCCTTGGTAAAGGGCAAGGACCCAGAGGCTATAGTTCCAGCCCATTCTCATATCATAAGACATGTCACGGTCTATATAAAATCAAAACAACAGCTAACCCCATCTCTAGTAAAAATACAAAAAAATTAGCCGGGCATGGTGGCACACACCTGTAATACCAGCTACTCAAGAGGCTGAGGCAGGAGAATCACTTGAAACCCAGTAGACGGAGGTTGCAGTGAGCCAAGATCACGCTACTGCACTCCAGCCTGGGCGACAGAGTGAGACTCTGTCTCAAAAAAAAAAAAAAATCAAACAACAGCTGATGGTCCTTTCAGTTCCATTTCAGATCACTGGGGTAAAGTGTATTAAACAGCAAATTGATTCAAATAAACAATAGATGTGGCCATTTATTTAGAGCTGGCTGGAAAATATAAATGGCCACCTATCGATGTTGTTCTGCTTTGTCTTTATCAGGACTTGAGACCAGGAGACGTATCCAGCAAGCGGAACCTCTGGGAAAAGCAATCTGTGGATAAGGTCACTTCCCCCACTAAGGTAATCCATTGGGAGGACTAGTATTTCAGAGGTTCATTTTCCTGATGTATGCTGTAGTATAATGTCCTAGAGTCAGATGAGAAATATCGCTGACCTACCGATCTTTGCCTGCACACTCATCGGTGTCTAAAAGACCAGTACATAACACAGTGAAAGGAAAAGTGCATTGCAAGTTTGTCAGTCATACATCAACAGCCCGAATCCATGGAATGGTTCTTAGTAAGACATTCTCAATACACCACAGTGGTAGGAACGTTGGCAGCAGAAGCCTGTATGGGATACTATGGTCCACGTTTCCTTACAACGTCCCAGCTTGGTGCCACAGTCATTTAAAGATCACTTGGGGAAAACATCTGTCTCCCTGAGTGTTTCCAAAACTGCTTTCTGGAACCATTTTAGATTATATTGCCACTGCCAGCAGCCTAAGACTCAGAGTTGCTATGGCAAAAAAATTAAAATAATATTCAAGAGTAAGGCAACCATTTAATACCCTATGAAAATGAATGGCTAAGAATGACTGGGCTCCTCTTACTTTTAGTCTTCTGGTCAAAGGATATGGTCATTCTTCAGAAAGGAGGCTCTGAAGAACATCTAAATGATGCTCAGACTGCAAATGGGACCCTTTGTGTACAATGAGCTCATTCAACTCCCAACTGTAGCCTTTCCCCATTTCAAGTAATAGACCTAGTCTTCTCCTTCAATAAAAAGAAAATTAAAAATTAAAAGGAAGAAACTGGAGACGGACAATAAGCAAGGTTAGAACAGGCTGCTTATGGACTGATTTAAACAGAAGCACTTCTTAAGCAAACTCAGGACTAAAGAGTGCATCAAAGGCAACCAGAGAATCACTACAATTCACTGCAGTGAGAGAATTACCTTCCCTTTCCTACTTTCTACATGTTTTTAGTTCTGGTGCAGCTACCTAAACATATTACCCCACCTTCACTATTAGCTACGCATTGCGCTTTTATTCCATTGAAATTCACTAGCCTTTCTAAGTCATTGCTACACACATGAAAAGTGCTTGCTGGTAATTATCACATTGCAAACTACTAGCACTAAGTGAGCACCCCACTGTATGCTAGACAATCTTCTACCTTCTTACCCTCCATTATTTCATTTGATCCTCCAGTCACCACGTGAGGTAAGTAGTGTATCATTCTCATTTTGCAGCTGAGAAAAACAAGGCACTGAAAGATGAAGTAACTTTCTCAAAGTCACACAGTGAATAAGTAGCATAGCCTGCATTGATACTCCAGCAGTCTGATCTAAGCCTGCATTTTAACCATTATACATGGTACTTTCTTTTAGGATGCTATTCAGGAGAAAATGTATAGTTGTCAATTCCTTCTGTAATTTTCTCTTAGTGGCAGGGGAGAAAAGAACTTTTTTTTGTTATTTTTTAAACAAAGAATGAGCTTGTTGACTTAAGCCTTTATGACCACTCTAGCCTATTCTATTAGCGCATTGCAGGTTTGTCAGCCATGCAGTGTAAGTAGCCCAAACCCATGGAAAGGTTCCCAGGAAGACATTCTCCATACACCACCGTGGGAGGAACGTTGACAGCAGAAGGTTCTCTTCTCAGACCTCTGAGAGGTATCTGACCTCTCAGAATGGCAGTCCCAGTGTTTATGAGTCCCAGAATGAGTCCCTGAAAAGGGGATGTCAGCTGGCTATAGACCATCATCACCAGTATAATGGAGTCTCTCTGGATAACACTCCTCCTAGCCAGAGCTCTGGAAAGTAGAACAAAGATGATGTGAAATGGTCAGACTCAGAGAACACCACTCACATACAAACATGAATGGTACTCCCTGGAGTTATGTAGCACCAGTTATGTAGCAGTACAAGGTAGGAGGGTGACAGTGTGAGTTTTCACATGCCACTAACCTCTTTCTACAGTAGTAATAATATAACTACCAGACGCAGAACTGAGTTTATGAGGTAGCAGATTAGGTAGCTCTTTTGCTCCAAAATGTCAAACTCATTTCTTGTTACTCAGTCATTCCTTAGAAATAAATACAATGAACACCCTTGAAAATTTGAATTCACAACACTTTAAGATTTCTTAATAGCTTGGCAAAAAATTTTAGCAACTAGCTGAGTGGGAGAGAATGGTATGAGAATAGGACTATAGGTGAGATAAGTCTCGTGGGGTAGGGGTGTAAGAATAGGAGGGAGAAAATAGAGATTGCTAGATTAAAAATGGGAGAAAACTAAAGATAAACATCCTCCTTCACCATCATACACTGATGTGGCCCTCACTGAGCTATTCAGTCGCTTGTGCCTGTTCTGGAATACACACTAGATATTTGGCTCTTACGGTAGAGTTTAAAAATGAAAAAAAACAAAGCAACTTATTTGACTCTAAATGCTATGAGCAAGGCCAAAGGTTAAGACAGGAAAAGAGAACATAAAGGAGAAAGATAGGAAGAGGGAAGTGAAAAAAATCAGAAGGAAGGATAAAATAAAAGAAGATCCAGCCGGGTGCAGTAGCTCACAACTGTAATCCCAGCACTTTGGGAGGTTGAGGCAGGCAGATCACTAGAGGTCAGGAGTTCAAGATCAGCCTGGCCAACATATGGGAAACCTCGTCTTTACCAAAAATACAAAACTTAGCCAGGCATGGTGGTGCACGCCTGTAATCCCCAGCTACTCAGGAGGCTGAGATGGAAGAATTGCTTGAACCTGGGAGGCAGAGGTTGCAGTGAGCTGAGATCACACCACTGCACTCCAGCCTGGGTGACAGAGCAAGATTCTGTCTCAAAAAAATAAAAAAAGTAAAACAAAAGATCATATTTGAATGGAATGCCAGTAATAATCTTCCCTTTCGTAAATATTTATTCCTGCCATACCTTTTTCTTCTGACTCTAAAAACTGTCTGCCTGAAACACTGCAGGCTGTCAGTTTCACACTGGAAGCTGTCAGTTTCAACTTCTCTTCTCTTGGCAGGTTTGAGACAGTTCAAGAAAGAACCCAAGCTCAAGATGCGGGACGAGCTCAGTTGTAGAGGGCTAATTTGCTCTGTTTTGTATTTATGTTGATTTACTAAATTGGGTTCATTTTCTTTTATTTTTCAATATCCCAATAAACCCATGTATATTATCACTATATTTAATAATCACAGTCTAGAGATGTTCATGGTAAAAGTACTGCCTTTGCACAGGAGCCTGTTTCTAAAGAAACCCATGCTGTGAAATAGAGACTTTTCTACTGATCATCGTAACTCTGTGTCTGAACAGTGATACCAACCACATCTGAAGTCAACAGAAGATCCAAGTTTAAAATTGCCTGCGGAATGTGTGCAGTATCTAGAAAAATGAACCGTAGTTTTTGTTTTTTTAAATACAGAAGTCATGTTGTTTCTGCACTTTATAATAAAGCATGGAAGAAATTATCTTAGTAGGCAATTGTAACACTTTTTGAAAGTAACCCATTTCAGATTTGAAATACTGCAGTAATGGTTGTCTTTTTTAAAAAAAAGGAAATGTACTGTTAAGGTATTACTTTTTTTCATGCTGATGATTCATATCTAAATTTCATTATTATGTTAGCTGACAGTGGTACTGATTTTTTAGGTTGGTTGTTTTGTGGATTTCTTTAGTAGTGATAGTAGCCTGAACCACATTTTAGATAACTCATGTATGTATGTATGTGCATACACATATACAAACACACTAATGGTAGAATGCTTTTTTATGTGCTAGACTATTATATTTAGTAGTATGTCATTGTAACTAGCCAGTATCACAGCTTTTGAAAAATTAAAGAATCACATTATATTAATATTTCATATTTGCCAATAGAAACATGGCAGATAGGTATCAATATGTTTTCAATGCCTGATGACCTATAAGAAGAAAGTATTGAAAAGAGAGATTAGAAGTGTCACAAGGAGTTGAAATTTTCTAAAAGACATAGTATTTAGTTTATAATTAAATGCATTCTTGAAGTCCAGTGTGAATTTTATTAATGCTATCATCTCGACCAAGCTCAAAGCCTACTTATTAGAAACAATGAAGTTCACAATAGGTCATAAGGTCTCTTCCTTTTCTAAAATTGAAAGACAAGAAATTTAGTGCCAATATTGTACAGAATGAAATTCCATGAGTCTCACAAAGACTACCTTTGGTTAAATGTCTGCAAGCAGAGAAGTAAAGTGAGCAAAATCCAGTGTTGAGGAGTCATGACAGTACTTTGATCTTTATATACTCTGAAACATTTCTTTAAATTAAACTTTTCTACCTTTATTTGTCATTGGTACTTGTAGTAAGTTGACAATGTGGTGAAATTTCAAAATTATATGTAACTTCTACTAGTTTTACTTTCTCCCCCAAGTCTTTTTTAACTCATGATTTTTACACACACAATCCAGATCTTATTATAGCCTCTAAGTCTTTATTCTTCACAGTAGATAATGAAAGAGCCCTCCAGTGTCTTGGCAAAAATGTTCTGGTATAGCTGGATACGTACAGTGGAGTTATATAAACTCACACCTCAGTGGACTTAACCAAAATTGTGTTAGTCTCAACTCCTACCACACTGAGGAAGCCTCCCAAATAACTATTTTCTTATCTGCAGTATTCCTTCAGAAGAGCTAACCAGGGCAGGGCTGGCATGAGAAGTGACCCGTGCGTTATAAAGTCTGTCTTCCTCAGAAGTTTGTAAAGAGCAGTTGAATATTCTAGCTTTAGCAAACCTAGGCCAAAGGAAGGAAAGCCATGAAGAATGCAGAAGTCAAACACTCATGTCAGAGTAGGCGCAAGTCTACAATAAGCTAAATCAGAATTTACAAATACAAACGTTCCAGGTAGCATTGACTCCCATCGTTGGAGTGAAATGGATCAAAGTTTGAATTAAGGCCTATGGTGAGGTAACATTGCTTTGCTGTACTTTTGAACAAGAGCTTCTCCTGATCACTGTTATATATTTTTCTAGAAAATCTAAAGTTCAGAAGAGAATGTATCACTGCTGACTTTTATTCCAATATTTGGATGGAGTTAAGTTTTAGGGTAGAATTTTGTTCAGTTTGGATTTAATCTTTTGAAAAGTAAATTCCTGGTTTACTGATTTGACTATAATTCTCTGTTATCTTTATGAGGTAAAACTGCAAGCTGACTAGCATGTTCTGTGAATCTGCCATTCCTAAAACTTTTATAAACACTTCATATTTTTCACTGATAATTGATCGCTCCAATAAACATATATTGTGAAAATGCATCCACAATAAATGGAATTCCTTCCTGCAAAATGTCTTTGCCTCACTTATTTTTATGTACAATATTGACAGTGAGAGGTATGTCTATTGTAATAAAGATTATGGCACAGTAAAACCTGTATTTCAGGTTGAGTCTTGGTTTCACTCTTTAAAGAAGAAAAGCATTTTCATATTTTTAAATTATCTAACAAAATACAGAAAATTGGTCTTATGTTGACAACTGACCAAACAGGTATGGAAAAGGCTGCAGAGGAATTTTGCAAATCTTTCCTAAAAGAAACTATCGTCCGGGCACAGTGGCTCACGCCTGTAATCCCAGCACTTTGGGAGGCAGGAGGATTGCTTGAGCCCGGGAGTTCAAGACCTGTAGGGTCCAGCCCCACAGGGTCAGTGGGTTTTTCTCCCCATGTGTGGAGATGAGAGATTGTAGAAATAAAGACATAAGACAAAGAGATAAAAAAAAAAAGACAGCTGGGCCCGGGGGAACACTACCACCAAGACGCGGAGACAGGTAGTGGCCCCGAATGCCAGGCTGCACTGATATTTATCGGACACAAGACAAAGGGGCAGGGTAAGGAGTGTGAGCCATCTCCAATGATAGGTAAGGTCACGTGGGTCACGAGTCCACTGGACAGGGGGCCCTTCCCTGCCTGGTAGCTGAGGCAGAGAGAAAGAAAGGAGAGAGAGACAGCTTACGCCATTATTTCTGCATATCGGAGACTTTTAACTTTCACTAATTTGCTACTGTGATCTAAAAGGCAGAGCCAGGTGTACAAATTGGAACATGAAGGCAGACTAGGAGCGTGACCACTGAAGCACAGCATCACAGGGAGACGGTTAGGCCTCCAGATAACTGCGGGCGGGCCTGACTGATGTCAGGCCCTCCACAAGAGGTGGAGGAGTAGCGTCTTCTCTATTCTCCTCCAGGGAAAGGCAGACTCCCTTTCCCAGTCTGCTAAGTAGCGGATGTTTTTCCTTGACACTGATGCTACCACTAGACCACGGTCTGCTTGGCAATAGGCATCTTCCCAGATGGTGGTGTTACCGCTAGACCAAGGAGCCCTCTGGTGGCCCTGCCCGGGCATAACAGAAGGCTCGCACTCCAGTCTTCTGGTCACTTCTCACTATGTCTCCTCAACTCCTATCTCTGTATGGCCTGGATTTTTCTAGGTTATAATTGTCGAGCAAGGATTATTATAATATTGGAGTAAAGAGTAATTGCTACAAACTAATGATTAATGATATTCATATAGAATCATATCTATGATCTATGTCTAATATAACTTATTTTATATATTTTATTATACTGGAACAGCTCGTGCCCTCGATCTCTTGCCTTGGCACCTGGGTTGCTTGCCACCCACAAAGACCAGCCCGGGCAACATAGCAAGACCCCTTTCTGTACACAATAATTTAAAAGCCAGGCATGGTGACATACACCTGTAGTCCCAGATACTCGGGAGCCTGAGGCAGGAGGATCACTTGAGCCCAGGAGGTCGAGGCCACAGTGAGCCCTGATAGCACCACTGTACTCCAGCCTAGGTGACAAAGTAAGACCCTGTCTCAAAAAAAAGTAACTATCGATTGTCCCTCCATCCTCCTTCTCATTGCCAATGTTGTCACATACCAGCCTTCTGGCTCCTAAGATGGGCAGTACTGTTTTCTCAAAAGTAGTGTCTCTTATATAGAAACACCCATTTAATATAAACCATTCATTTGTAGAATACTTACTACTTGCAAGGCACTGGTGATTACATGGGAATCCAAAGTTATTTTTTCATGGTAATTTTGCATATTTATGTAGCACTAATTGGTCTGAAATCTGAAGTTCTCATAAAGGTTTTAAACTGTGAGTTCGAAGCTCCTGAACAGTTCCCTCAACACTGCCTACAAGATTGACACAATTAACTAAGTTACTATAAAAAAAAAAGTATTTTTATTTCTGTGTCCTAACAAGAAGTGTGATAACTATAGACAATAATATAGTTATCAAAATCAATTTGCAAAATTAAGCAATGGAAAGAATACAATCTGTAATACCAATACCAAACTGGTAAGATTAGAGGTGAATGGAAATTAATTTTACAATATGTATATTCAGGATAAGAGCTTGAAAACATACTAGTGTCTTCTGTGATGTCAAAACAGGTCTATATTAAAGGTTTTTTCCTACCTTTGCTTGTATGTATGCTCCAAGGGGAAGAATGGATAAGAAAAAAAGATTTCAATCCTAAATTTGTGTTCTTCCATTGACATTAGCAGATACCTAACAAGGTCTTGATTTTAGTACAGTGTCTATTTATGTCAAGTCTATTAATTGTGTCCTAATATTCTATATCCTCCTGATTTTTTCCTTATCTGTTACTGAGAAAGGGAAGTGAAAAAGCTCCCACTACGATTATGGATTTGTCTGTCTCTCCTTGTAATTCTGTTAATTTTGCTTTCCATATTTTAAGGTTATTTTTGGGTGAGATATTCAATTCACTAGGAAGATATAATGATTCTAAATCTTTAGCTAAAGATCACTATGAAGTGACCATCTATTTGTGCAAAGACTTTTGCCTTAAAGTTATTTTTTTCTATTCTTAAAATTACTATGGTGGCTTTCTTTTGACTAGGGCTTGCATCATATTATTTTTTCATCCCTTAAATTTCATTTATATCCTTTAGTCTTAGATACGTGTCTTTAACAATAATCACATGGTTTGGGTTTTAATCCAATCTGATGATCTCTGAGTTTCAACAGGAATATTTAGTCCTTTCATATTTAATGTAATTACTGATATCTTTGTATTTAATAGTATCCTACCTATGCGCCACCTGTACTATATTACTTTTTCTTTCTTGTTCATGCCGGGGCTGCTGCTGCCTCAGAGCACATGCTGATCTACAAGTGGCAGCTGAGAGGCTGAGCTAGATCTTTGGAAATACAATTGGGCTAGAGGAAAAAAAGTCAGAATCTGCTAACTGCCAAGAATGAGGGCTAGGCAAACTACTTCTAGCTTTGGTTGGGTCTTCAGAGAGCTGCCTCCTAAAACTAAGGTGAATTTAAAGTTATCTGGTCTTCACACAGATTGCCACCTAGCTCCACTCTGTGGAATAATTCTAGTATTCTCGCAAGGAAATAAATGATCAATGGTAAAGATGAGAAAAGTTACAAAATACTGAGTAATAATTCAAGAATTTAAGAGATAAAGTATCACAAGGCTCTAGCACACAACTGTCAAAGAATTATGTAGTATATACTTGTCAACATTTAGAGGGAAGAGAGAATACATCAGCCTCGGGTAATCAAAGAAGAAAACTATTTGCCTGAACGTTTTTTATACCCCCAGAAGTGTACGCAGTACCACTACACATAACAATGCTTGGTAAGCAATAAGATGATACCATGAGCAACTCAGTTTATAAACTTTGCTAGATGTGCTGCTGTCAATTTCTGTTAAGTTTCTAGAGGTATAAGAGGTTAGTTTTGTGACATTTTGTATTACTAAATTTATAGTTCATGTATCAACTCAGCCCTGAATCTCAGCTCCATAAAGAACACTGGCTTCTTACATCACTCTAATGCCAGTTGTTGTTGTTGTTGTTGTTTTAAGATGGAGCCTTGCTCTGTTGCCCAGGCTGGAGTGCAGTGGCACCATCTCAGCTCCCTGCACTGCAACCTCCGCCTCCCAGGTTCAAGTGATTCTTCTGCTTCAGCCTCCTGAGTAGCTTGGACTACAGGTGCATGCCACCACACCCAGCTACATTTCATATTTTTAGTAGAGATGGGGTTTCACCATGTTGGCCAGGCTGGTCTTGAACTCCTGACCTCAAGTGATCTGCCCACCTCGGCTTCCCAAAGTGCTGGGATTACAGGCATGAGCCATCACACCTGGCCTCCAATGCAGATTTAATAGCAGAGTTTTGCCATGACATGCTCTTAATAGTGATGGCTTTTACTATCTTGAAATAGGATTTTCAAAAAATGTTTCATTAAAATAGATTTTGGAAGGCCCAGTGGGTCATTTCTACCTGGATAAGGACCTTAATTCAATCTTCTCTTACTGAATATACTAAAAATTATGCAAAAGTACCACAATCCTACAGAACACACGATTAGTTTCTTAACCAGTTTTCAACCTTACCTAGCACTCTTTCATTCTAACATGCTTTTATTAGAATAATGAAATGCTATCTTGTATATGTCTAGTTCCTGCTGTATTAGTCAGGGTTCTCTAGAGGGACACACCAATGGAATAGTTTATATAAAATCTATAAAGGGGAGTTTTTTAAGTATTAACTCACATGATCACAAGGTCCCACAATAGGCCATCTGCAGGCTGAGTAGCAAGGAGAGCCAGTCTGAGTTCCAAAACTGACGAACTTGGAGTCCGATGCTTGAGGGCAGGAAGCATCCAGCGTGGAAGAAAGATGTAGGCTGGGAGTCTAGGCCAGTCTCTCTTTTCACATTTTTCTGCCTGCTTATATTTTCGCCATGCTGGTAGCTGATTAGATTGTCCCCACCCAGATATTAAGGGTGGGTCTGCCTTTCCCAGACCACTGACTCAAATGCTAATTGCTTTTAGCAGCACCCTCACAGATACACCCAGGATCAATAGTTTGTATCCATCAATCCAATCAAGTTGACATTTAGTATTAACCATCACACCTGCCAACATTAGTAACACGGGTGCTTTGAGGTTTTTTCAAATTACAGAAATTAGTTATCAAGTTCACTAGGGTTTCTCAACTAGGGTCTCACAGACCACACTTTAAAAACCACTTCCCCATGTCTTGAGGAGAATGGTGGCTCTAACCTGCTCCCTGATGTAACATGTAAGTGCTTAGAACTTACATGTTACTCACCCAATCCTCACAACCCTACAAGACAGGCACTACTGTACTGTCCCCCCTTGACAGGTAAACAAATTGAATCAAAGAGAATTTAAAAACTTGCCCACAGTCATATGGCTAAATGGCAGAATATTTGACCCAAGGCAGTTGGCTCCTGAGTCATTCAGGACATAGGCATGAGCAAGGATTTCATG